TCTACTTTTCAAGTGTCAAACCATCTTAAAATGAAAGTACTTTGGTATTCAGAAATAGTACTTTACATAAATCATGTAAAGTACTTCGTGAGTCCTTTTTAGCATACACGTGTACGTAAACTGCGTCTTCGCACAAAGTGTTTACTTAATTTCAAAATAACTTATTTATACCACAAAAAATTGAAAGATTAACTATCTGTAAAACGTGTACTCCACTCACGTCTGTAATAATAAAAAGAAACGCATTTGAATGCAAATAAAATAAAGTTACTGCAATGATTTATTTTTGCATTCCTTTCAATAGATATGACGCTACAAATGGAAGGGGATACATATTAGGTATGTACAATTTTAATTAATTTGCCAGCATTCTAAATTGCTTTTTAATCTTTGACAAGATACAAGAAAAGAGGATAACAATGCATATGTATTTCATAATTGTGTACCCTTTGAATATTTTGAGCCGTTACCCTTACTGCGTCCACTGTTTTATAAAGGTATGATTTTTTCAATTTTACAGGAACCAGTTACCTGAGTGGAATATGTACAGCAATGAGTACTTCTGTAATAGTGGACCACGGGTCTTATAACTCAGCTGGTATCGCAGCCCATGAACTAGGACACAAGTAAGTAGTCCTTTGGTACTAATATAAGCGACCATTCCATTTCTCTCCGAATCCACCTTACATGTAGTATCGCCTCTGCAATTAAAACAGTAATATGAAGCGAGCACTACAAAGTGAGGAAAGAATTTCTATTAACAACACAGTAAATCAATCGTGTAAAAAATGAAGTTACTATGTTAAACATATTTATTTTTCTTTATTTTTTCCCTCCCGATCAACATTTATTTTATTTGTTTTGAATGAAATAAACCCAATGTATATGCATTTCACCTAAAAATACTGGTAGATTTTTTAGCTTTCTACTTAAAATTCCGTACTTACACTACAACAATAAAATCTGGCTAAAAAAATAATAATTTTATAAATATAAGTTGCAAGGAATTCAAGCTAGACAATTTAATGCAAGTATCCACGTATGAAAAAAAATTTCAATGAAACTGTAAAGTATAGATGTTTTAAGAATTCATATATCATAATTACACTTGTGTATTAGAGAGAGAGAAAAAAAAACCCATTAAATGCAATACAAGGGGGAAAAGTTATCCGTTTTATTTAAGTGGCTATTAATACATACAGAATATATTTGAAAATGTCTCAAATCGAATTAGAACAATATTCTTTCCATGACAAAAAGTGCGCTACTTTTCCCTATTTATAATAAATACAGAGAGAACAAGATGTCCTCTCCAAGTATTTTATGATGTTTTGCCACCATTTCGCCAGTGGTTGAGAAATACAATGATGTCAGAGATTACAAAAAAAAGTTTGTAGATTTGACAAATAAACGCGATATGACATGTTGACAAAATGCATATCAACACTTCTTGATGTTAAAAGAGGAACATGTTTTCTACAGTGACTTGAATTTTTATTTTTAATTTGCATACTAAGTATATTGTAAGCTTGTAGTAAACACAGTTTATTCCAAATGTAAATTAACTTAGGCCCCTCTAATTTCATTGTATGACAGTAATTGCGGTATATACGTAAGATTTCGTAACGAAGTATTTTGAAAGATTTTGTAACTATAGTAAAATGTACTTATTAATTCTATGGTTACTTCGAGTACCACAATATGTCCCTTGGAGATTAATTAAAAGAATACATGTATGTTCAAAGTGCATATCAGCCTTGTCACTAAGTCTTACATAGAAGCAGAGAGAACTTTTTAACCTTTATAAGAAAATTAATTTATGAAAAAAATTAAAACATAAAAATCAATCACAAGCATGCATTTATAATGATTGAATAAATTTGAAAGTAAAATAATGTTGACCAGTGATTATACCATTTTGCTGACAACCCTCTCATGCAACAGTTCAAATAAAATGAAACCATCATTTGATATGACACTGATAAATTTCATAAATTGATTGCAAGATAAAAAAGATCATTTCAAATATTTCCTCTCTTAAAACAGTCTTGGAGTGATTTACCATGATGGTGATGACAACCCGGTTTCTAGACGCTGTCCACGTGAACTGAACTACATCATGGCGCCATCATCTGCAATTATAAACTCAAAAACCAAAGAATACAGCTTCAAGTTTTCCGACTGTTCCATAGCTCAAATGGAGGATCATGTTAACTTACTGACACAAAGGTGAGACTCCAGACAAGGAAAAAAATTATTCTCTGAAATTTTACCAAGATTAAAAAAAATAAAATTAATAATTTGGATTGATGACTTTATAACTTTTTTGTATGACATGTTTCATTTCTGGCTTTCAGAGCGAGAATTTTCCGTAGAAAAGGTAATTGTTTAGCTGATGACGCTGGTCCATCTTATGCTACAATGATAGTAAAACCTTATCTCAGTATACCTCCGGGACAATTAGAGGATGTTCATACTCAGTGCAGGCAACTGTATGGAAATGAATCCTTTATGTGTGTAAGTACATCTTTACGTTTTTTTATTCTTTTATTTGAAATTTCATTTTTTTCATATCAGATCCGCTTACATCTTACATAGGTTCTTGGTTTATATAATTTCTATAAATATTCTACAGCCACCTGCAACAACAGATGAAATGTGCTACAAAATGTACTGTTTTGATCCCGGAAGGAAGATGTGTATTACCGGAAGTGAACAAAGAGCTGCTATGGGAACTTCTTGTGGTGACAAGAAGGTAAATAACAGAAGGAACTATACATTGCGTATATTTTGTACAAAAATAAATCAATATAAAAATAAACATCAATACACAAATCATATTTTGATTTACTAACATTATAACCTTATATTGCAGTGGTGTAAACTTGGAAAATGTGTTCGTGATGAAAAAGCTCCTACAGTACCAGGTACAAAAAAAATGAACTGGTATTGAAAAATTTCAAAATCTACTTTCTGTTCAATTATTCCTCATATATTTATTTTCTCTATCCATTTATTGATATCTTCCCAATTATTTTCTCCTGAGTCCTTTTATATTTTTAGAAATTTTTATTTTCTTGGCTGTTGGTTATATTTATTTTTATTAATGAGCAATGAGACTTTTTGTAACGCATTTGCTAATTTCTCACGTCATTCGATTCATCAGACAATTGTCCATTCCCTGATGTTCCTCCTCCTAGAGCTTCTTGTAAAGAAGACGCCTCTCCTATGCAATGCCAGGATCCAATATTCTATAAAAGATGCTGCCAGTCGTGTAATAGAAGTAAGTATTAAAGCCAAATCAATCGTAGAATTTATAATGCGGTCATTGACACAATGCTGTGAAGAATTTACAACCGCTAGGCAAAAGATTTTTATGTCTTTTATTTATTTATCATTTGCTTTCCACTACTCTGCAATCATTTGGGTCTTAATATATCGATATCTGTTTACGTATGTATTTGGGGATTTTAGAAAAAAAATTATCCATAGGGCTTTTATAGAAAATGGCTTACAATGAAAAATTTTCAGCTGTCTTAATATAAAAGCTTATACAGCGTATTGCTTGAACCCTTTATCCATGAATAGCAAATCTACAATCAAGAGGCGGCAAAAGTATACCACTTGCTTTCCTAACTAATCACACGTAAGAACTCAGTTACCTGATGCTTCAACATGCTTGGCAAGGTATTGGCATGGCTATCGTTATATACTTGCGCTTTCTTACTTTCAGATTTTACGGAGGAGGACTTTTGCAGAGACTCTAAAATTTTAATAAATGGCTTTAAATGCGACCAATTTATTGCAAAATATACACAAGAGATTTGCAATTATGACCCTAATGTCAAGAACTTTTGCTGTGCCAGCTGTAAAAAGTCTAGTGAGTACCAATATGAACTTCCTCATTTTTAATTGATCATCCTTTTACATCCTGTTTTTTAGCGGTTTGTCCATTCTTTCATTGGACAAAAAATGCTTGTGCTTGCAAGATTTATTGTAACCCCCCAAGTTATTTGCATTCTCCGTATTACTCCGTAAAAATATCTTGAATTCCCAATCCTCTGGTTTATATATGTATATTACAATGTAGCATATTTTATCAAAAGTTAACCAAGCAACTCTTTCCTTTTAGTTCCCTTTGCTCCTACGCCGCCATTACCTACCCGCGCTGTGCCTATGAACTGCCAGGACAATCTGTTCGTAAGAATAAACAGCCTGCCTTGTGAGGCATTTGTAGCCAAAACTGGTCTCTGTGACAGACCTATTGTACAGCAACATTGTTGTGAAAGCTGCCAAGCATGGAATTTAAAGAAATAAAAAAAAGTGTAACCGGAGCTCACTTCTTTTGTTTTCATTTTCATTAAGGTACATACGTACCTCTAACTAAAACGACCGGAAAACAAGTTGTTAGAAGATTTTCTAGGAAGGGAGGGGTGTATCGTCGACATACTAGTATTCGAACAGGCAAAGTTTATGAATATGTGAATCCCGCCTGCTAAATTGGAATGATAATTCTGATACTAAAGCAGAGCTCGTTGCAAGGCAAAGAGTTGGTCTTTCGTTGAAGCTAAGGACAGAAGTGACCTTGAGTCAAGGCCATCTCACATTCTACTGTTGTAAGCAATCTTGTAAGGGGTATCAACTTGCAATATTTCGCTAGTAAAAAGACCTTGAACTTATCCAAATGACTTTGCGTCAAGCCATCGTACAGTCTGGTTATGAGCCAATCCCTTCTGTGTGCTAGTTCAAACAAGTTCTTTCAGACCTTGCATCCAGCCAAATCATCTTTTCATAAATGACCTCAAACTTAATTTTAATGCCATGACACACTCTGTATGATACCAGAAATACCCTTGTTTGCGTTTCCGACTTCTTCACATATTTTCCTCTAAAGTCGTAATTTGCTCTGTATTAAGCCCAACTCTAGCTTGTTTAAAGGTTCAATGTAGACGTTTTATGTCCAGTTCTTTGTTTCTGCTCTGGCCTTTAATCTAAAATAACCCTTCTGCACAAAGTAAAGGGGCATTGCCATACCAAATTTCAGTTGGTCACATTGATTAGTGGTGGGGCACATCCAAAGAAAAATGCTTCGTACAGAATTATCATATACATCATTAAATGTATTTCCTTTTATTGACAAAGCGAGACAACTCAAATCAAGGCAGCATTTGAAATTGATCTCTATCAAAATGTAACATACTTCCATTTTCCACAAATGTTTGAAAGGACAAACAACTCAAACACACAAAAGCGCATATCTATATCCTCGCCAATCCGACTGAACAAAACAATTAATGGCTATTGAATTAATTTGTACTAATAACATTGATTTCATTGATATGTATAAGTTTTTTTGTCAGCGAAGCAACCATCATAACATCCTTTAAAATCTATTACTGGTATTTAAGGTTCACAATTGACTCAAACGTACAGGAATTAAATAAATACTGAAAATTGCACGAAAGTAGTTTTATACTTGTTGTTTTTCCTCTATTATGGCTGAGTTCCTTTTGGATAATGATAAAAAAAGACTAATTCTAAATTGTTCCTCTTAACAACTTTCTTAAACATTCGACACGTCATCCGAAGAATCACCATTGTATATTCTCATGGCTTCTCTGTACTTCTCTGCGCATCCCAAGCCTCTATAAAACTCTGCCAGATAGTAATAATTATCTGGAATCCCAATCAAAGCACATGCATTTTCAGCATCTTCAATGTATTCCGTGAAAAGATCGGTGTTCCCCAATTCCTTTAGAGCTGTAAATAAACGTTGAAATGAAGACATCATCACCATGTAATATTGCAATGTCAGCGTTTGGCCTTGGTAGTTTGTTTGATATAGAGCCTTGTCGTTTTTGCTCTGATAAGAATCCGCGGTTGCTTTGACTTTTTCTTTCAAAAGTCGGATGAGCTCCATTGTATAATGGGAGCAGAGATCATATTCTCTGGTTACAGCTAGCTTCATAGAGAGATCCGTTAGGAAAGCTACGTCAGTTTCTTGCAATGTAATGTAGATTTTTGATTCTTGTAATAAAGGATCAGGTACGCGTACCTCATCAAACTTCCCTTTCTTTCTGTCAGGTCCTAACAGATCCCCGATTGGTGTTCCACCAAACATACCCATGATAAATTGAAGCGCTCTACTGTTGTGGAGATGATCCAAGAAAAAGTAAAACCACCATTGCATACTATTCGGCAAATCTTGAAAATAGGAGCATGCAAATTCTTCCAATGAAGGCCCATCTCTATTAAAGCTAAGAAATTCTTCATATAACTCAACAAATGAGTCTGTAGCATCTCTAATGAAATAGTTATATAACTTATTCTTCACATCTTCAATGCTGATCTGGAAGAAAACATCTCTCTCGGACCCTTCAATGTAATGCCCACTTTTTATGGACTCGATGTGATCTATAAGCGGTTCCGCAATCGAACTGCCTGGTAAGCCACGCTTTTCAGTCACCAAAACTATCGAAATTATCGGAAACTGTCGAATTGCCAAAATCCTTGAGTACAGACTTTGGATTTCCTCTTCTGCTACGTCTTCCAGTAAATTCCATGCTGGAATAAAATAGTCTGGTATCTCCATTTTATGAATAGAGAATAGAAGTCTATCTAAAAGGTATAATAAACATCCGCCTTTATTGTTTGTCCAAAAATCCAAAGGAATTTTTTCCATGGCGTAGAGGAAAATGGATTTCACTGCATACGAAGATAGGTTGATCTTTTTTGTACTAGCAATACCGTCAATTAGAAGTTTAAACACTCTGTAACAATGGCGTTGGTGAGAAGTGGTTCCTTCTTTAATCAAAACTCGAATGGGTAGCATAAAATTAAGCCTCCAAGTTAATTCATCGGAGGATTCGCATGGAACAACGACGCATTTTTCTTCCGATACTTTAGCAATTATATCCTTCGAAGGCCAACAAGCGGGTCTTTCCCTCGCGAGCCATGAATTTAATATATCAGCTGGCCATTTGAGACACTCTATTCCTGGAATCATTTTGACTTTTCCTTTATTAGAAGAGTAATGAAGAAGAAAGTTTGCTGAAAGATACGCAGTCCCATCCTTGAATTTGATATACGCCGACGCGTAAAAGGAGGGCTGGATGACTACTAATTTCGTTAAGGAGGGCGGCATGTTCTCGAAATCCAGACAAAAATGGTTATCAACCTCGCTTTTCTCATGAATATCGTTCAAAATGACACACTCGTTGCTGATGCTTAAAAGGGTAAAACAAAAACTTCTTTCTCGTTTGTTGTAGGACATTCCAAATTTTGGGAAAATCGAGAGGTTGGGATCTAATTCCTCTTCAATGTTTCCGACCTGTGAGAATAAAATATTTGTTAGAACCAATGACAACCTCGACGACAAATTTCGTAAACTAACCATAGAAAACTCAAGCTCAAATATCTTTTGCTACATATTTGTATGAAAATATTCTTTATAAAGGGTCCATCGCTCACAATGCTCACATGAGTTACCTTGAATCTGCTTTTTAAAAACAATTGTACCGCCCCAGTCCAAGATGCCATGATTTAAATAAATTTGATTCTGCATTTCCTTGGGATGTTTTTACATTTAGAAGACAAATCATGACCATGTTATTCTCTAAAAGATTTTTTAGAATCTCGAATGTTGTTCTATTTATCTAGTAATAAAAAACTTGAATTTATACGATCTGACAATATTTCCTTATTAATATCACTAATTAATATCCAACATATGTATAGTTCATGAAAGATTTCAATAGTTTCCCCCCTATAATAGTCATTCAAAACGACTCTTTAATTATATATTTTGGCTCCAATGAATAGATTACCCAACAACGATGACAATGACAAAAAAATATACAGGTTTTCATCAAATAGTCAGTGAAGTTTATTTAAGAGCAGCTCAGGTGATCGAGTTAAAATACAATCTCACCCACAATATTATGACATCTTTTGACCTTTGATCCTATAAAAATTATTTTTCGCCAAATTAAAGAAGTTCTCAAATGGTGTTATTCTTACCGTTACTGAGCGATACTTTTCACAAGTCTTGTCGGAAGCCCAGGGAGGTTTGTCGTTGACGAATGCCCGAATTGGAATTGTTTTGTTGATGAGGAAATGTAGATGAATGAAAGGTATAGAAGTCAAGAGATCAGTATGGACTCCAAAGTACGTGTCCATTTTGTCTGTAATTCAATTCAAGCACAATATACTGATTTTATTGTAAAGAAGTGAATTGGTGAGGTTTCATGGATGATAGAATTATTCTATTCTAAAAAATCTTAGATATTCTGAACCGCTTCTAAAAAATCTAACATCATAACATTTATCCCACTCAGGGTCACGTCAGATCAACATTTTGATGTATATGCTATGTACGACTGTGACATCTATGTTTGCATTTAGTATGGCGGATGGGCCGACTATACAATTATCCAAATGAATGCAACAAAAAAGGCTTTTCAAAGCGTCCGCATGCACCTTGGTTTCAGGAGAAAAACAAAACCAGGAGTCCTTTCCTTTGCACAAATCCTTTAAATTGTGTTGATTTCTTTCTATACTTGTCTAAAATTTGTCATATTTGGCATATAAACACGTATTAAGAATTTCATACATTGATTTTGCTCAGGAATATATATCTTTGAGTAAATAGATTTATGAAATCATTTAACTGTCTGAATGATGCCATTTACTGACTATAAACTCTTATGTTTTTATTTTTGGCTTGTTTGTTTTGTGAAATAAGTAGATTTTGAAACAGGAATGGATGCTAAACAGTGACAAAAAGCTGGAATGGCTTAACTTCAAGCAATTACATATACATTATTACACATCAGAAATGATAAGTTGCATCAGTGGAATTATCTTTAGAATCGTATAGAGAAGCTTGGCCAATGCAAATGGCCAGAATTTGTTTTGTGTTTTTGATGTTAATAAGTAGATTCAGTACATCGACTATTATCATATCGAGCTATTTCCAAACAAGCCTTGCAGTCATAGATCAAGATGTGTTTGAAAATTTTAATTGAGGGTACCTGGTATATTTGTATTATGAGAACTCTACTTCTGGGATTAGAGCAATTACAGAAAATACACTATTGCCTTTTATAATACAATCAAATAATCTCAAAAAGGTGAAGAATTTAGCGAACAATGATCCATCTAAAAAAATCTACAATACAGATATGTGACACGGACACATTATTAAACACAGACCCCCAGGGGCCAACAACACTCAATAGGTGAAATCAGGTGCCTCAATGACAAATTGCACTTACTTGCTTCATCATCAGTCTCCGAAACTGGATAATCCTGTCTTAGGACACCGTTATTGATGTTAATAAATTTTATGATAACCATGACAAGATTACACTGTATATTTTTTCGATTATTATCAATAATTTTTTTTCAATAAAAATTTATTTTCACTCACGAATTTTGACTTATCCATTCACCATTAACAATTATGCCTTTGAAGTCATAGATCAAGATGTGTTTGAGAATTATAATTGAAAGTGGATTAAAAGCGGTTAAAGTGTATATTTGTGTTATGCGATTTCATGAACGTTGAAAATAAACCTCTGGACGACCCCCATCTGGGATTCTCTAGAATGTCAAAAAAAAAAGAAAATATTGGAAATAACCGATGAATACAACAGGTCAGTGCCTTTTATAATACATTCATCAATTTATCAGCAATACTGGAAAAAAAAAATTGGCGAAGAATTTAGGAAACGACTTCAGTATTGTAGGGGGAAATTAACCAAAGTTGACCAAAAAAAATTTATTTTTAGTGATGAGATGACCATAGTTGTAAAACCAGATGGTAAAGTTAAAGTTTGGAGTATTAAACACAGACCTCCGCTGTTTGAAGTTAATGGTGTGGGGGACATCAAATGGAGCTGGAATAGTTGCAAATCAGGCAGAAGTGCATTAGTGTGTTAGATGAACATTTATGGCCCGTACAAAATATTTTGCAAATTCACCTGCATTCATCATGACAATTGCCCTGTTCATCGCTCTCGAGAGACAGAAGACTGGATAATTCTACCAATTTTTTGGCCCCCGCAATCCCCTGTATAAACCCAATTGAAAATGTCTGAAAAATCATGTTAACGTCTAGATTTTCCATCTGTCCATCGAATAATATGATTTTATGGGAAATACCGAAACGAAAAGATTTGAAAGGCTTCATGACAAAATATTAAGTCAAAATAAGATTTGAATTTTTTATTCAAGTAGTAAACAAAAACTATGGCGGCCATCTTGTGAAAAAATTGACATACTTTTGGCACGTGAGTGTACATAGTTCTGGAAGATAAAACAAAAATAAACCTACCAAAACAGATCAATCATCATACAAATAATAAAAAACTCACGTTCAAACCAGGTATCTGACCAATTTTTCTTCCTAAGGCTGACGTAATGTTGCTCATCAAAATGACCTAGCTGCAGTGGTTCTTTCTTTGTAATGTCGTCACTAGGAATATACGGTTCGATTGTGGTTTGATTATGGCCACTTCCAATCGCACTGATGATCGAAAGAGTTCTCCCAAGAATGTTGCTGATTCCTCTGTAACAAAATAAAACATTACTAGTTTTGTTTAAATTGTGGTGCAAATTAAAGTTTCTAAATAAAATTTTGAAAGGTAAAGTGCACCACGAAGGCATGTAATGCTCACATCAGGATCGTCAAACATTACCGCGTACTTCAGAATTTTAAAACATGAACAACCATGCATGGAAATGCAATAATTCCGCGTCTCACAAGCCCGATTTCATCATATACCGATGAGCCTTACTTTTCAATCTGATTTAAATCAGATATCCTTCTACATAGATCTCTACACAAGGATCAGCCTTGAGTAGCTACATGTATCCATGTGAGCAGATCAAAGAACTTGATTTTATATTAGATAATCGTTCCTTTAAGAAACAATGTTTGATGATCGTAGACCTTAGAAAGTCAAGATATATTAAAGACGAAAAAAATTTCGCTTATATTGAAGTAAAACCAACCGTAAAATAAGTTGGTCACCCCATTCCTTGTCTCTGGACATTCTAGATAAATATTCATCCCAGGATTCCGTGGATAAAAACATCGCAAGGGGAGATCCATCTTCATGTTGGGGATTTGCCCGCAAAAATTCTACCGCCATGAGACGTATAGTTTTAGCCGTCCAATGAAATTCTCCGTTCATTCTCAGTTGATCAACAACAGAGCGGAAGAGACAGTTTCCGTCTGGGACCACATCATGGATTTCACAGTCAATGCTTTCCGACAGATGCTCCATGGTGGAAATCATATTTCCTGTCTTGCAATTTCGACATTTTCCACAGCCTTCAAGAATACATTTAGTCATATCAGGGAAATTCTTAATTTATATTGTCGATGCTATAAAAGTGGTACTACATAGAATGTGCATATGAATCTTGCAAACACATCTAAGTTCAATTGCGATGTTGCAAATAATTTTAGGATAAATAATATAGTTTGTAAAGCAATCGAAATACGCTTATTTTGTTCATTAAGGTACTACAGTATCAGTAGACACTACACAACATGTAACTTAAAACAGGTTTTATAGCTTGAGGATGCATGTGAATTTGCTGCAGATTCCTATGAAAATGTAAATGAGAGTTCTAGGAACATAGAACTTGTGGAGAAACATACTGATTCCATAATTGTGGCCGTTAGGATTAAACTGAACATTTGGAAACCTTTTTCTGATCTACATGTATGGACACTGTCTTCTTGCAAAAATGATTTTGCTGCTGCTCAAAATGTAAAAAGTGATGAATTTAATACAAGAAAAAACTATAAAACATGTAACATTAAAATATACCAAAACTTTATTGAGAGGAATTTAAATATATATAAAACATGTAACATTAAAATATACAAACACTTTATTTAAAAAATTTGGCTTTAAAATATCTGAAACTGAAAATAAAATTGTAACCGTATACTTTAATTTCTATCGATAAGCTTAACAGACCTAACTTTGGTTATTTAATAATGTTTCCATTTCTATTTGCTTTCTCTGTGATAACTCTTAGAAATTAAGTTAGTTGAGTTGATTTCATTTTCAACTTCATGTATTCTCTTTTTAATGAAGATTTTTTCCAACAATGAGTTTTAGTAACATTAAACAAAGAGGTTTGATATAAAGATGAAGTAAAAAGACAAAATTTACGTGCAAATTGTACTTGACATCATGAAACATGAAAGAATAATTACCCTCGGCATAACCACGTACACAGGGATAAACTGAAAATAAAATGCACGATGTTCTTGTTACATTCGAAAGAAGGTCTCTTTAGTCACTTCCTTTTCTCTTTCTCTACATTTCTGCGTATTTTACATTTTCTTACCGTAACTCACTCCGTATGTCTTCCAGCTTTTCGGAGGTTCTCTCTCTTCATCGCAATAATCAAAGGAATACTTCTGTTTCTTCTCCCCCTCCTTTCCTGGGCTGTGAGCGCCGTGTGTGCGGCAGACAATGTGGTGTCCCTGGTGATTGTGGTGACAGTGGTGGTGCTGGTGGTGACAGTGGTGGTGTTGGTGGTGGCAGTGAGTCTGGTGGTGGTGGTCGCTCTCATAGTCATCGTTCTCACCATCAGAAAATTCATCGACTGTGCCAAAAATGTATATAATATAATATTAAATCTATGATAAAATTGTTTTTATTTTGAATTTCACAACTTGTGTATGGTGCATATTTTTCCAATCAGTATCAACTAGTGCATGTAAATATATACATGTACAATGTACCCTCCTTTCGGTGTTCAGCATCGCTTCAGGGTAATCTCTAGAATATGGCAAAATCTTAAGTGTGTACAGCAGGTATGTATCTGTGTGTGTGTATATACAATTAAACATTGTACATGTGATCAATTTCGGTGCCAATCGACATAAAACAGTCAGATACAAATGCAATTTCCGGGGAAAAAATGTTTTCTGAGAATGAACAATTTCATACAAAATATTAAAAGATTGTAAAAAATGTGAAATACATTTATATGTCATAATTTTTAAATTAGACCAAATTGAAAATCATGCGTGAACGTCACCTGTTTAGCTGTATGAATTCAACCTCTTATTACATATACACCTTTATCTAACTAGTTTTTCACATTTTTAGCTCACCTGAGCCGAAGGCTCAAGTGAGCTTTTCTGATCACATTTTGTCTGTAGTCCGTCCGTCTGTCTGTCTGTCTGTCTGTAAACTTTTCACATTTTCGACTTCTTCTCAAGAACCGCTAGGCCAATTTCAACCAAACTTGCCACAAAGTATCCTTGGGTGAAGGGGATTCAAGTTTGTTCAAATGAAGGGCCATGCCCTCATTCAAGAGGAGATAATTGGGAATTAATAAAAATTTGGTGGCATGTTTTAAAAATCTTCTTCTCAAGAACCACTGTGCCAGGAAAGATGAAACTTATATGGAAGCATCCTCAGGTAGTGTAGATTAAAGTTTGTTCAAATCATGATCCCCGGGGTAGGGCGGGGCCACAATGGCCGACCAAAGTTTTACATAGAAATATATAGGAAAATTCTTTAAGAATCTTCTTCTCAAGAATAACAAAGCCATAATTGATCATATCTATATGGAAGCATCCTCAGAAGATTCAAGTTTGTTCAAATCATGACCCCCGGGGGTAGACCACAATGGCCGACCAAAATTTTACATAGAAATATATAGGAAATTCTTTAAAAATCTTCTTCTCAAGAATAACAAAGCCATAATTGATCATATTTACATGGAAGCATGCTCAGGTAGTGTAGATTCAAGTTTGTTCAAATCATGACCTCCAGGATAGAAGCTGATCACTTCTGCTTGACAGCAAATAATAATGTCTTGGACAAGTACAAGAATTTCCTCCAGTCTTACAGAGAAATGACAGTTGATAAAAGAATGGTGGACACAAAGTAAAAGTGCTCTTCAACATTTTTGTTGAAGATTTCAGTCTGATTCATCTTGCAATATTTCTGGATTTGTATATTTGGATATAAACGTCACATTTTCAACTTATTGACTTAACAGTTTTGCATTAAATATTGCCAATGCTATCTATTATTATTATTTCCCTCCAAGATAACATGTCAAGTCTTTATTGTACCCCTTCAGCTCTGTTATACCAGAAAAATCTTGTAATGAAATCATTTAGTTTATTTTTCTTGTTAGATTAAATCCATGAAAATAAAGATTATTTTTAATTATAATGGCATCAAGAGAATGGATTTTTTTGTTTAACAAAAAGATTGTATACATGTTTTGCTAAAAAAAAAATTCTTTGCTTGCAAGTTTTGTGGTTTGCCATTTTTATCACGTCAACTATTAGATGATTTATCCATGATTAAAGCATTTCAAAATTGATATTTACTTACAATTTAAAGCAGAATTCTGTACTGATATGACCTTGACCCCTTAAAAACAAGAGTGTCAAGGTCAATTTTTAATACAAAAATATTCTTTCATCTTCATGGCCCATATCTTACATACAATATCATAAAATATACAAAAAGTGTCATGTGTCCAGAATGTGAAATAACAAACATGTATATAGCCAAAAACTTTAAAAAGTTGTTGCTTAGCAACCACTTAAAGGTCATTAAACAGATATTTGAACTAAAATGATGCATGGATATTGCAGTTCTAATCCCTTCTTGAGAGTATATTCAGAATTTTCCATTTCAGCATCCATTGTGTAAAATTATGGCAAGAATATTGAAAAGTGTTGAAAAAAATTGATGAAACTTTGGTACTTATTTGACCTTTGACCTCCTAGAAATAGTACTAAAGAGGTCAAACTTTAAGATAATTTATCTGTTGTTCCTTCCTTGTAATTTTATGACCTCACACCTAACTTTTATATGTGCTGGGATGCATAAATATGTCTAGGATGAGTAATAAACGAAAATTCTTGTCCGAAAATTAAAAAATTCTGGGTTGCTAATCAACCGCTTTTAAGTAGTTATATGCAGAATTGAAAAAAAAAAGTTTATATGTTTCATGTAGTACAGTATCATGCTCTTTTGTGAGTATATCCAAAATTTCCTATTTCAACATACATTAAAGTAAATATTTAGCTTGAAGATTAAAAAGTATAAAAAAAATCCCATAAAATTTTGTACTTAATTGACCTTTGACCTCCATTTTTACTAATAAGGTCAGTAGTTGAGTACCTGAATAGTCATAAAATATCATCTCTAAGACATTCCCTACAAAATGGTATGCAATATACCTAGCTTTCTCCTTGAATAAAAAAGTTGGAAATAATTTAATAATGTCATATCAAAAAGTCTCCAAAATCACCTTAAATGTGCCGGTAGAGAAAGGGTTAAGGAGTTGTATAAATTTTCATTGCAAAATCTCAGAGAAAACAAGAGTTATTATCTAAAAGTACCTAGCCTAAAATAATTTAATAGAATATATAATGGAATGACCTTTGCTGGTCATGGAGAACATAAAAAAGCATTACCATATTTCATGCGTGTCTTTGATCTTCGATAAAAAATATTCGGAAGATCTGTATCATCCATGCTCCTACATGCACTATTCCTTACGCTTAATGATAGCATGAACATACTTCCGGTCTTTGTGCCTTTCCATCCACTTTTAGATGCCTCGCTGGTTGTTGAATCTGCATCCAAACCCATTTCCTCTTCAGGGAGATTTTCATCATCGGAACTTCTTCTCGCTTCCAAGTTTGACCCTCCGGAGTTCATAAAGACGATAAGACTCGGTCCATGACTAGAGCTGCCATAAAAATCTTCCTGCTGTCCTCGTTCAGCCTTAGGTGTTACGTCTCTGACGAAGAAGTTATTGTGAATTACTTCGTCATCATCATCATCATCGTGGGTTTTGACGGGAAATGATTTCCTATAGGAAAAATGCTTCTTATTCTCCAAAAATTCCTCATCCTCTGAATCCGTAAACATCAGCTGTGACTCAGCAGATCGTGTGTACACATTTCTATTACGTCGGTTGGTTTTCTTTGAATTTATATCAATGTTACATTTATCTGTTGTATCATATTCGGATTTAACCGCCTCTGATTTCGAATCTGCTGCTTTCCATATATTTCTTAAAAACTCGAGTTGTTTCTTTCTATTTTCAAGCTGAACTTCGCTGTTTTCCATATTTACCTCTGTGAATAAATAAAGATGGTCGTATCAAAGGATAAATAGTTAAATACACGATTAAAGTATTTATACAAAAACATTAACTGGAAGCTGAATTTCGCTTTTTTTTCGATATTTACTTCTGTGAAGAAGTAATGGAAAGGTTCAAGGATAAAGTCAATGTCTCAGAACTAGACAATTAGCTGAACGCAGTCAATGACAGCAAAATATAAATACTATAACAATTAAGATTTATTTAATTAAATTCCTTTAATTTGGCGATTTATACACGTCTACATTTTTTAATCAAAAAATTTTTGAACCCTTAATAATCAATATATTTGAAAACGCATAAAGAATAGTTCATTCGTGTGAAACCATTCAAAAACATACCCATGATAAACGTTTTTTCTGTGTAAAGAATGTAAATCTTCAAGTTGAAGGTCAAGAGGTAAAATATGAACGCCCTATCGTATGTCATTTAGAAGTTATCATCGAAGTTGATTTTTTTTAAAAAAGTAGGTCAATCGTGAAGGTCAATGGGTCAGAAATCATAGCTTGCTCGGAAATATCTTGTCACGGGTAATGCACATGTCAAATAATATGAAAACCCTTTCTCTTCTCAATCAAAAGATATACATAGGGACAAATTAATATTTTTGAAAACTTTCAACGTCACGAGGTAAAAAATCACAGTGTATTTAGAAAGGTCTTTTCACAGGTAATATACATGTATAATATGAAAGCTATTTCTTCTCATTTAAAAGATATAACGAGGGTTAAAGTTTTTGAAAACTAGGTCAAACTTCAAGGCCAAGGTCACAAGGTCAAAAATCATAATGTATTTTAAAAGGTCTTGCCACATCTAATATACATGTTTAATCCCTAGCTCTTCTCATTCAATAGATATGACCAAGGTTAAAGTTTTTAAAAGCTAGGTCAAACTTCAAGGTCACGAGGTCAAAAATAATAGTGTATTTTAAAAAGTTTGCCACAGGTAATACACATTTTTACATGAAAGCCCTATCTCTTCTCATTCAAAATTTATGGTCAGTTCAAAGAAATTTTTAAAATTTTAAAAAGTGGATCAAACCTCAGGGTCAAGGGGTCAAAAATCATAATGTATTTAGAAAGGTCTTGTCACAGGTAATATACAGATATAATACGAAAGTCCTGTCTCTACTCATTCAAAAGATATTACCAAGGTTAAAGTTTTGTGATGGACGGACAGACTGACAGACGAATAAAATCTACTTTCCCCTCGCTTTCGCGAAAGTGGGAGACAAAAAATTTTAGTTGTATCCAAGAGATCTTTTTGTAAGAAGAAATACACGTGAAGGTCTTTGTGCCAACTATTCAAAACGTTACCCCAGTATGACAAAGATTTAAGTTTGTCAAAAGTAGGTCAAACTCCAAAGTCAAGATGTCTAAAATGCTGGTATATTGTCACAAGGAATACAAAAAAGGATGAAAGTCCGAGGATCATCCCTTTACAAGATATAATTAACAAAATTTAAGGAAATGTTTTAATTACGAAAAAAAAAATTGCAAAAGTGGGTCAAACTCAAAGGTCAAATAATGAAGTACCCAAAGAAGGTCTCGTAACAAATATATGTCGAAAGCCCTATATTTAGCTCCAATCAACCAAAACTAAGTATTCGACTAGGTAAAGTATTTGAAAACTTTTATATCTTCAGTCAGAACATTGCTGCATATGCAGGTCTGTATGTAGCTCGCTGTTATAAAAATAAAATTGAGATGGATGACCAAAGAGCTACAAAGTCACTGGTTTAAAATCATATATCTTGGGCACAAAAAAGTGTGTTGTTCCGTATATGTAAACTGTCATCTAAAAAATTAATACATTTAGTTTAATTTCTTGTACTACTTCCAAAATAAAATAATCCCCAAAACCATTGTTAATAGCTAGCGCTTCTCTGGGCCTGATCTAGCTGCAGAACTGTAGCGTTATGGTTTTATATATTTGTCTTTGACCATAACGCTACAGATCCCGTGATGCAAAAAATGTGCAATTTACGGCGCAATATTTTTTGCGCGCTTTTGGGGAGAATTTCTCCACTTTCCAGCATCGGTCAATTAACTACCTTTCATTCCCTAATTCTAGGCATATTATTTAACTAATCTGTATATTTTATCCATCTCCCAACTCTTTATAGTCGTCTCTACAAGTGATAAACTCACTTGATTAAAATTATATGTTAGATTGCTGAAAATTCACTTCAGGCGAGTTCATTGCCTGTAGAGTTGGGAGATGGATAAAATATACATATTGGCTACAGAATATGTCTAGAATTAGGGAGTGAAAGGTAGTTGATTGACCAATGCTAGAAAGTGGAGAAATTCTCCCCAAAAGTGCGCCGTAAATTGCAAGTTTTTCGCATTACGGGATCTGGTGTTATAATAAAAGACAAATATATTTAAGGAATCACTGTCTAGTTAGTGTAGTATGCCAGGGCATCAACGATAGTGGGAAACATGGGATAATTTGCATAACAGGCGAAGCCCGTTATGCATAAATTATCCCATGTTTCCCACAATCGTTGATGTCCCTGGCATACTACACTAACTAGACAGTGATTCCTTATATTTCCATTTCATTGTGAAATAAAATTGTAGATTTAGACTTTAAAAATGTAGACTAATCAATTTAAATTACACGAGGACTCCCATGCCAATTTCAATAGTCCTCGCCCACTGACGTCAAACACAAAGGCAGCCGCACGAGATTTACATGTATATTTGGCTTCTTTAGCGTCAGACACAGAGACAGATGCGCAAGAGATTTGCGTGCATATTAGGCCTCCTTAGCTCGTGACCTATCGACCTGCCTAATTTGCATTCCGGCAGAATTATCAAGAAATAAACTCCCCTAACTTTCAAAGAGTTATCACAGAGAAAAAAAATTAGAAATGGAAATATAAAACCATAACGCTACAGATCTGCAGCTAAGCCTGATCAAACTTGACAACACTGCCATATTGGTTGCATTCCGCCAAGACAAAGCGGTCCATGCGACGTGTGCGTCCTTCATGGTTTGTAAAAATAATTTTGTCGAAGAAGCATAGTAAGAATATGATAAGAAAAGTCGGTTTGTACTAATATTTTTATGTATATGGAGAATTTTGAATAAATTAAGAAGCTGATTTGTACGCAACAAATAAACACTTTTTTCATTTGGTATAGACTAGCTCTGGTTCCACTGTAGCATCTTTATCGGTTTCAGACCAGCGAGCTTACAGATTAAATCCCCACTCAAACACATTACCTCACGAACAAGTTAAGACCGACATTTTAGAAAGGATAGGATGAGTCCCAAGAATTAAGATGCAATCACTGTCTTTCGAATTTTTTAACAAAGTAGGAATTTATGATTATCAGTTTAGTTGTAGAAGGTCGGTTGTACATGTATGCATTACAAGTGGTAAACAAACGAGTCTGAAGAAAAGGAAGAAGGAAAGGCTTGGATACGTGTACACAACCATTTTTTTTTTCTTACACCTTATAAACACGTATAAACAATGTTATTCCTAATTGTCACTAAAATGCTTAAATCAACGAGTTTCCCAAGCAATGTACTTGTATTATTTGAGAAAGAAAATAAAAAATACCTGAATTGCCCTGTTTCACTTTGAATTACATTGTGTGGTGAGTTCCGTTCTAAATTCCGTACTTGAGTTCATCATTCTTCTCTGTCTGCTAAATCGAAAGTAGAAAATTTTCAACACGGAATTTAAAAATCCACAAATCTATAAATAAACCAAATATCTATTTAGTTATCAGCTAGACATTAACTCCAACCTTAGAAAATTTTAATCTTATTAAAAAGCAAATTGTATAATAATTGCATTGATTTTACTGTACACTTTGATCAAATTTATGAAAATGAGACTTTCTTTTCGAACATTATTGAATTGGTATATGTAATAAAGAAATCATAGTTCCTGTTTGTTCCGGAAACAATTAGAGATGTAGTTAAATGAAAGGTGACCATTTTCCTATACGTGCGAAATTTAATTAATTAAGACAACGGATGATAATATTTTTATCCGGTAAATCAACAAGAAACAAAGCTCTGAAGAGCTATTTTCTGACTACAAATGGAAGCAATTCCACCCTAAAGGTCCAACAATTTATTTTTACAATATATAAAAAGATCCAAAACAATTAATGTGAGGTATAAAGTTAAAACTTTTACAGATTATAAATATATCATTGTTTAACGGATAGAAAGTATCACCTGAAACCAAATATTTTTTTAAAAAAATATTTATTGAGAAAAAAATTTTCATATTAAAAAAAAATGTACCTGCTTAATTCTGTAATTTTTAGTGAAAACCATCATTGCAGAAAAATAGTATATGTTTATCAATGAAGGGCAAGTTAATTGGTCTATTTAAATGGTCTTTGAAAGGCTCTTATTGAAAGCATATACTAGTATGTATATATAAAGACAAGACGCCTATAAAATCCACCATTTGCAATGTACTTTCAGTTTCAACTACCATTGAACTCAGATTTTTTCGTAAAGAGGATCAACTGCACTAAGGCATTTGACCCCCTCCCCTTTTTGAAATATACCAACATTTGGATTAAGGAAATAAAAGGTAAATTTGCATTAATGTATGAAGTTTCATGAAAACATCTGGAATATTTTATGCCCCCGTAAACGAAGTTTCGGGGGTATATAGTTTTTGTAGTGTCCGTCCGTCTGTCTGTCTGTTTATCTGTTTGTCCGCAAAAACTTTAACCAATAACTTTTGATTTAGTGGAGCTGTGAATTTCATATTTCACATGTGTATTCCTTGTGACAAGACCTTTCATTGGGTACCACCAAATTTAACCTTTTGACCTTGACCTTGGAATTTGATCCATTTTTACACAAAAAATTCAAACTTTTACTTTGGCCATAACTTTTGAACAATAAATACCAGGATATTCATACTTCACATATATATTTTTTGTGGCAAGACCTTTTACTGGATATCACCAACCTTAACCTTTTGACCTTGACCTTGGAAATTTACGTACTAATGAAAAAACTTTAACCTTCGCAATAACTTTTGAACAGTAAAGACTAGAGCTTTGGTACTTCACATATGTAATCATTGTAAGAAGACGCTTCATTGGATACCAAAAGCTTTGACCCTTTGACCTTGATCTTGGAGTTTGACCTACTTTTAAAAATACTTCTTGACCATATCGTTTAAAGGGTAAAAGCTAGTTCTTATAAACTTTACATATTTAATCCTTGTGACAAGACCTTTTATTTGATATCAAGACCTTTGACCCTTTGACCTTGACCTTAGTGTTTGACCTACTTTTTAAAAATCTTAACCTTGGTTGTAACTTTTGAACGGTTAGAGCTAGAGCTTCCATACTTCACATATGTATTCTTTGTAGCAAAAGCATTTATTGGATACCAATAACCTCGACATTTTGACCTTGATCTTGGAGATTTCCGGACTTATGAAAAAACATTAAACTTGTCAATAACATTCAAAGAGTAAGGGCTAGGGCTTTAATACTTCACATATGTAATTCTTGTGACAAAGCCTTTTATTCAATACCAATAACCTTGACCTTTTGACCTTGATCTTGAAGTTTAACGAACTATTAAAATCTTTTTAACTTTGGTCATAACTTTTGAATGGTTAGGGTAGCTAGGGCTTCCATACTTCAAACATCTGATCTTTGTGGAAAGACCTTTCATTGTATACCAATAACCTTGACCTTCTGACCTTGATCTTGAAGATTTCTGTACTTATGTAAAAACTTCAGCCTGGCCATAACTTGGAAACAGATGGTGATCGGGCTTTCATGTTTTACAATTGTATTTCCAGTTAGGTGAGCCTACTTTGGGTACCAGTATATTCAATTTGCATATCTAAGAAAAGTTTAATCTTCACTATGTTGCCATACGGGGGCATCAGTGTTTCACAAACTCATCTTGTTTAAGCTGGGTTTAATTACCATTAGTACATAATATAATTAAAGGTCATTGAGAAGGTCAAGGCAAAAAAAAAAAAGACCTTATAGTTGAAAAAATTCTCACCGAATAATTTACATGCACATGTATCGGAGCATAAGACTTAGAAATTATCCTATATACCGGTATTTTCTTTTAAACTTAGCTAAATGCACATTTGAGAAAAATCAGATCAAGGACAAATGTCTATAAAATTGAAAAGCTCTCCTCAGTATGTATCAGAATAGGCAGTCTGATGTAAATATATTGATTTTTCTCTTTGAAACTAGTCATGCAGCTAAACACAAATTAGAGAAAAGTCATGGTAGAATGAATGGTAATTAACAGCAAAAAAAATTTAATGCAAAAGAATAGCTTTCTCCAATTTATCTCTCGTTTGTTGGTTTTTCTTTTCGAAATTGAAAACATCATAAATATTCGAAAGGTTGAGGTAAAGAAGTGAAATCAACTATTAATATAGCTCTCTTCAATATACATTTATTGACCGAGTTTGAGGACAACTTGCGTTCTGTCGGGACCCCAAGAACCAAACTGTTTGCCTGAGGTCGTTAGGTCGAAGGCAAACAGCTAGTTTGGTTCGAGGGTCGACAATTAAAACAGTCAATAAATGTTTTGTTATTAAAATACCTTTCATTTTTATGTTTTTTGAAATACTTGTATCTTATACCGTCTTCTGTGATGTAACCTGAGGTCCGTCACGGTTGCACACCAATGAATGCAAATTAGATTAAGCTCCGTCCATTGTGTTCTGTAAACGGTCCAACATCTCATCGACAGGTCCAACATCTCCACTCAGCGGTCAAACATCGATTGTTTATTGCCCGCTCAGTAAAACATTAGAAATGTTAGACTTTTTTGTATAGATTTGTATAGGAACAATTTTTTTAAAGGTATAACAATATGAATTATTAAATAAAGTTTGATAAAAATCTTTGAAATTTGTTTCAGAATATCTGTTCCTCAGCTAGGAAGGGTAACTTTCAATACATTTTCCCCCGCTCCCGCCAAAATGAGGGAACATTAAATCTCATTCGTCTGTCCCCAAAAGCTTTTAACTTAATATCTTTTGAATGGGAAGAGAAGATAGGACTTTCATATTAGCAATGTATATATTAATTATCCTTGTGAAAACCTTTCTAAATACACTGAATTTAGACCCCGCGCCGTGGCCTTGGAGTTTGACTTTTTTCAAACACCTTAACCCGGTAATAACTTTTGGATGAGAAGATTTGGGGCTTTCGCCTTTCACATTTTTCAAATTACCTGTGACAATACCTTTCGAAATACACTATATTTTTTTACCCGTGACCTTGATGTTTGACCTACTTTTCAAAAATATTTCCCCTTATAACTTTTGAGAGGGCTTTCACATTTGACATGTGTATTACCTGTGACAAGATATTTCCCCTCCCTCCCCTTGAATTTCATGTTTGAACTTATTTTTAAAAAATCAATTTTGGTTATAACTTTTGAATTAGAATAAAATATTTCTTCAAATGTCAGCATACTTATGCCCCCGGTCCCGGTTCAAGTTTTTGGAGCAGATCCATTCCCAAGTAACTATAAGCCCTAGCTGCATGGACCAAACTTGCATGGATGATGCATCTAGGGATTTTTGGAGCAGGTCTATTCCCAAGTAACTATAAGCCCCACCTGGACCAAACTTTAATGCATGGTACATGTGTATCTAGGGATGGACACTACCAGACTTGCTTCGGATGTTGGATCCGATGTACATTTTCCAGAAGAGTGACCAGGTCAAAGGTTTTGGAGCAGGTCCATTCCCAAGTAACTACAAGCCCTACATGTACCTGGACCAAACTTGCATGGATGATGCATCAAGGGATGGACACTACCAGACTTGCTTCAGATGCTGGATCTGACCTGCATTTTCCAGAAAACCAGTTAAAGGTTTTGGAGCGGGTCTATTCCCAAGTAACTTTAAGTCCTACCTGAACCACAGTACAATTACAAGGATGATGCATCTAGGGATGGACCCTACCAGACTTGCTTCGGATTCTGGATCTGACCTACATTTAAAAATAATACGTGAATGACCAGGTTCAAGTTTTTGGAGTAGGTCCATTCCCAAGTAACTATAAGCCCTATCTGGACCAAACTTTTATGGATGATGCATCTAGGGATGGACACTACAAAACTTACTTCGGATGCTGGATCTGACCTACATTTTCCTGATGAGTGACAAGGTTAAAGTTTTTGGAGCAGGTCTATTCCAAAGTAATAACAAACCCTATCTGGACCAAAAATGCATGGATGATGCATCTATATTGCTCTGGATGCTGGATCTGACCTACATTTTCCAAATGGTTGCATGACCGTGGCTGTGGTTTTTGAGCAAGTCTATAATTTATGCCCTAGCTGTTATGATTAAATTGCATGGATGATGCATCTAAGGAAGGACAATTCCAGACTTGTTTTGGATGTAGGAAATGAATGACATATTTTGATTATTAAACAAGTTTAAGTTTTTTTGAACAGGTCAATTTCCAATGAACTATAAGACCTATTTAATAATTAAACAGAACTTGTATGAATATTGTTGTCAGGATGCACACTTGCTTTAGGGAAAATATTATGTGATATTTGCACTACTTATACTGATGACACTCGTTGAGATGAGCTTCGTAATCTTTATGTTTTTAAAATCCTAAAATATTTGTTGGTCAATTTTCAATTCGAAACTGCATGGAAGGTATTTTATTCACATTTTCTCTAAATTGGTTTGGGGTTTACTAATTATCCCTATATTAATATAATTAAATTTAATGATGAAGTTGGAAGAATTACATTACTTTGAAAATTAAGAAAGCGAGGTCAATGTCAAAATGTATGTTGATCCAGTTTCATAACTCTATCTGGAATTCTTCCATTGAAAATTACAATGTAGTTACACACATAGAATGGAAACATACAAGGTCAGGACAATCCCCAGCTCTGAGAAATTGATAAATTATGATGTTAAGGTATGTGAAAAGAAAATTGTATGCCTAGTTTCTTTGAAATCTACAATCACGTGTATAAGGTATCACTTCACACTTCTCGTCACCTATTGGAAATTCTTGAATATGCCACAGTGCTCACCAAAGTAACCCTTTCTCTGGTTTTGACTTCTCTCATATCTTTGTTTCTTTGCTTGAGAATGGCAATGATATCCCTATACACAGGAAGTGAAAGATTTCAAACTTTACCTGTGTTGGGGATTTTGAGACAATTTTAAATTAGAAGTGAAAAGTTGTAAGGAAAGTCTAAATAATCTAATAGTATATTGATTTATTTTTGAATATTTGCAAACACCCCTACCCATTTAAAAAAAATATTAATAATGATATCACAATATGAATTCAAATATTAAAACAAAGATTATTTTAGATGTTATTGTATGTGTTATTAATTAAAAAAACCCACCAGTAACAATTAAATTAGAATTAATTTATACCCAGTAATAAAAGAAAGTGAAATTAACTACATTTCATTAAAAATCTTTTTTTTTAGATTTATCCATGTTGTCGTAATCTATCAATAAAATTGCTTGTAAATTAAATTCTTCTGAATGAAATCTGAATAACAAAGGAAAATATAAACAACCCATGATTAGAAACATTTATGAATATTTTCCAAATTTAATTACTTAAATCCACACAGTGCTGCTCTAAACTTAATCAATAACATTTTAACCTTACCATTACCGTTTAGCATATTAAAATTAAAATCAAAATTTCACTGGAATATTTTTTTTTTATATTTTTTGAAAAATGTATATTATATCATAATCCTTTTAAATACCATATATCCTTTAATGCAGTTTCTCTATACAATGTTCGGTAAACATCAAAGGATCAAAAGTTAATTTGAAGGTAGTCCCTTACAAGGTGAACAGGGTATACACAGGGAGTTTGTCAATCAAGTTCCAGCATCCAATGATGAACCTTCATTACTTGATTGACAGGGCTTATTTTTGAAGGCGGTGCTAAAAATCTCTGCCTTTAAGTTTTTTTAAAAGGTGTGTCAAACTCTAGGGTCAAAATATTTAGACCATTGAAAGGTCTTGTCACAATAAATACACCAGTAAAAACTATTTTTTTTATTTTTATACTAATTTTTTGAAATTACGTGGCCTAATAAATATTCATCATTTTACATAGTCTTTTAACTTTTCATGTATAACAATAAATCCTGATTTGATAGCCCTCCCAATTTACAATAAATGCTTTTTATATAAATTTGTTGTACATAAAGTTCATTAATGATTATTCCTTTTGGTTCATTTTGTTGTACACAAATTACAATGCTACTCACACTTTTAAATGTAATTATTAAAAAAATGAGTAAACTTACATCCATTTTTTCGTAAGTGCTCAAATGCTTATTTTTTGCATCTCTAGATTTTCAAGAAATTTCCTTTTACTTTTGAAAGGGGAAAAAAATAATGAAAACTCAAGATAAAAGATTTAGCAATTCATTTTCAACAACAAAATAAAACTATGAAATTCACAAATTTCATTTTATAATGACAAAACAGTTATAAAAGATGGGACAAATTGCCATGCATTTTGTCTTGATTAAAAAAGTATATATTCACGAAAAGTGATATTGTGATATAATAGATTAAAAAAATAATTTGTCACGGAATATCAATTTTCTGCATAAACACATGAAATGTTTACTTTTCTTTTATAAACTCAAAGTTGATTCCATGAAAATAAATAGACTTCACTGCCATAGTTTAAAGGATTTTAGGTTTTATATTCTTTTTCACTTGCACTGATTTTCCTGATCAGATTTCACATTAGTCACAAAATACTGATGCTGCCTCTTTAATGGTTTTTGGAAAACATTTTTTTGAGACTATCAGCAACATATCACAAGATTTCCTTATGGAAATTTAGATTAAAATCTGTTGTTACATTCCATGTGGGAAAAATAGATTTTAGATATTAAACTGGCACAGGAGTGCAATATTTCCAAGGGTCTTGTAACATTTCTGGGTGGTAATAATCCTCAATATTTTGACTTCCTCCTGGGTTACATGAATTATCCTTCCTAGGATTCTGAAATTTTTGAATTGGATTGAAAAATATATAAAATTTAAATTATGCATAATTAACTTAGTATAGCATCTGTATAGAGCTTGTACATTTACACCCATATTTAATAATGGTGTGCACACTATACATGTCAACAATCATGTTTCATCAAATCCATATGCAGCTGCAGAACTGAAGTGTTATGGTTTTAAATATTAGTCTTTGACCATAATGCTACAGACAGTATTTTTTATCCACCTCCCAACCTTTTATACATGTAGTCATCTCTACAAGCAACAACTCACTTGATTTGAATTTTCTGCAATCCAACAAACAATTCAAATCAAGCTAATTTATCCCCAGTAGCAATTACTATAACGAGTTGGGAGGTGGATAAAATATTCAGATTGGTCAAGGAATGCTTCTAGAATTAGAGAGTGAAAAGTAGTTGAGTGACCAATGCTGGAAAGAGGAGAAATTCTCCCCAATAGTGAGCAAAAAAACTTGCAACGTAAATTGCACATTTTGTGCATTACGGAATCTGTAGCGTTATGGTCAAAGACATATATAAACCCATGATGCTACAGTTCTGCAGCTATGTGTTCAATTAAATCTTAAATGTAATAGGATCATGTACTTAATTTCCTACAATAAATATATTTATCGTTTCATATGTCTTAAATATCCAACTATAAATTATAATCAATAGATTAATTAATTATCTATCCTTATGTTTCACTTCAGATAATATTTGCAAGAAAGTAATGAAAAGACTTCATATAATGTTGATAAGTACCATTTAACTTTAAAAGTTGTCTCCCGCACGGATAGTTTGTTAGTAAATGGCTAAATTTCAAAAAAATTCACATGCTGAAAAATATACAGAACAATCCATATATCAATTATTTTTCGTGTATGTCAACATCACAACTTGTGTTTACTGACCTTGACATTTTACACAGCCAATGAGATTAAGGATCTATAGGGAGCGGATTTCTTTGGAATTACCTTATTTTAAGCCTAAATATCGCTGTTTACGAAAAAATTACACAAGGAATGATTTTATTTATCGATGTTTTGTGATACTATTCATCACAATTACTTATAAACCCCTGCTTTATTTAGTTATTCTAAATTTCAAGCGCAAGTTTCCACCTGAACTGTCATAGCTGTTGAAGATAAAAGGGACATTTATTTTACATGTTTTTCGCGTTTAACGGGTTATGTTGTCGACAGTGAATAAAAATCTCATCTTATTAGATGTAAGTTGAATGTAAAAACTATTTTTTCTGCCTGCCGTCGCCCGTATTTAAAAAAAATTTTTGCACCATTACAGAGATTACGATTTGACGGCTACATTATTGCAGCTAAATGTAAAACTGTCAATCAAAATTCACATGCTAAAACTGTGGTGTGTTTTATAAGATTTTCTACCACTCCCCCTCCCCCTATTTCCACCTGAACTAGGTGAAGCAAAAGGGACATAATCGGGAGTCTTGAAAAGGTGGTCTTTCGGACTAAACTGTTGATGTCTGGGCGACATGGACGGCCTTCTGTTTGGATAAGAGAAACTGTTCTGTGGTGGACATGGTGAGCTTTGAGCGGGAGACCCCCACGCGTAGGGTTGCCCCGAATGATTCTGTCCATTTCCATAACTTCTGTTCGCTGAATTGTACGGAGAATAACCCGGGGAATATCCCCTAGGTGAATTATAAAACCCCCTGTTGCTCATTTTACCTGAAAAACGAATTGTGTCTTTAAATTTCACTTTTAAAATCATAACACAGACCTCCTTCGAAAACGGAAATGCTCATACTAATTTTGGAGTAATATGGGAGAAAAGAAATTTCCGGAATGCTTACAGAAAAAGATATCAGTATAATGATCACAAGGCAAACAAAATCATTAATTGAAATGAAACTTTTATTTATATATAAATTTGACACTTAGTGAACTTGTGACACTCCAAGTGAATAATGACTGTGAATTGTCACTTGACACCAATTATCAAAAGTTTATGTGCCAGAAGGACAATAATAATCACAATCACATGCATCATGAGACTCATCCCTATTGTTACTCTAATCAAGTGTCAGAAAATGTGAAAAGGATAGTTGAATAAATAATGCATAAGTGTGTGTAGACTAGACAGTATTTTAAGTCTACCATCAATATTGTAATTTAAAACATTTCAGGCCCAATGAGGAAAGTAATTTCTCCCCCCCTCCCCTTCCCAAAAAAAAAAAAAAAATGGAGGGGTGTAAAGTGCAGATGAACATTAGAAAAAATCCTAAACATCCCCCCACCAAAAAATACTACTAATAAAATAAAGAACAAACGAAAATAAAATAAAAGCAGTTTTAGAATTTTTAGTTTTTATTAATGTAGCAGTTTTTATGCTTCAATTTCATAAAATAACAAATTATAATTCTATATACATAATTAAATATAATTTAAGTCAATAAAATATTTAATCAGATCCCTGATTTGTTTAATTTATCTAATGAAAACATCTTTGAACCTTTGTTTTGATTTAAAAAATTGCAAATTTTTGTTAATACATTTAAGTACAATCAATATCTCCTTGAATCATTAAATTAAAAAAATCTCTTAGTTATATAAAAATTTCATCAAAATCCTCCTGAACAATTACATAAACATAATACTGGTAATTATAATCATTTAAAATCAAAATAATATAATTAAAGTGTATATATCTGAATACTCACATTATACATTGCAATGTACAAAATGGCCCATTAATTAAAGCATGATATTAAAGCAGTCTGAAAAGAATTTCAATGTGATTTGGGTTGAGAAAAAATCTTATTGGCTTTTGATCTTAGTTTAATTATCTCTACTGGATATAAATCCAATGGTTGAAAGCCCTGCAATATCCACAATTATCCCTTAGTCCCTAAGTACATGTACTCATCTTTTCTCCAACTGTACTTTCTCCAGCAAAAACAATTCTAGCGTTAGATGCTGGTGGGGTACTTTTAAGTTCACACACAAGTACATCTTCCGGCGTCATCTTGTAAGTCCACAAATATTTGTTTGGATATTTTGACATGATTTGCATATCAAGCAACTGTCCTTGAAAGATGACCCTGGAACACAACCTAAACTTTGAAGCAGGTATCCCCACAATGTTAGAAACAGTCTTCATTAAGTCTTTGACTTTTTGGGTTGTGTTGACTTCCACCCTTTCCTCTCGTTCTTGGAAGGGGATCTCTAGAACTAGGTCTAATGTTGTATTCACACTCATGTCCACTTCAGCCAGAGGGTCCAATCTCCCATACACAGACTCAAGCTCATAGTACCTGTGCATTGCAAAAAACTGACTATACTTATTTAAATTTTTAAAATATGAGTACTGATCTCTAAAAACCTTATTTGTACCCTAATCTTACGTGTATATATATGCAGAAATATTGTAACAACAAGAAGTGAAAGATAGGAATTCAAGAATTCTGTAATGTATGTTTACATGCATGTACATCAGGCCTACAGGAAGCAATTTCATTTTTTTTTTATATTTTTATATATATTAATAACCCCCGCCCCCTTGAAAAATGGGAGGGTATATAGTAATCGGGATGTCCGTCCATCTGTTAGGCTTTGGGGTACTCATCTCTTATCCACAACACCTCTTGTAACACTGACTGAGACTTTCAGAGAATCTTTATTACATTTGACTTTTTGATCTGACACATATTTTGGGTGCCCCATGTCAAAACACGGACACTGTCATTATATTCATATGGGGGAGGGGGGGGGGGGATATCATTAAGTATTTAGTGAGCTCATTGCTCACAGTACTTTAAATTTTTTCTATGTTTTATATAGTATAGGATACATCAACAAAATTATTCGGGAGCAAAGACAACCCAATCCTTACCTGTCTGGTTTATCTTCACTGTTCATGTATAACCTGATAAAGGCCCTTTCAGCATCTTCTCTCTCACACTCTGAGATCGGAGTCCCATTCAAACACTGTATGTTGGGTAATCTGGAGATCAACTGCTGTCGTCGAGACTTCTCTTCAATTTCCTTCATTTATTTATGAAAAATTATAAAATATCTAGAAATTTACCATTATTTGAATAGGACAGCAAGCACGGTAAGATATGTATAACTAAGAATAGATTGAACAGAAATATGAAATTTCAAAATTGTTTAGTCAAACTCTCTTAAGAACTTTTAAAAGAGAAAGTATTATATCTGTACGGGTAGATTTTTTAACCGTATAGTCACATGTATGGAGACATTCAAATTCAGCTTTAATAATTAAACCAATTTTAAGACCAAAGTAAAATTCAAGCATGTTTTAAGGTAAAGATCCATACCATCCTATAGAAATAACGGAACTACAGATTTTGTTGAAACTTTTCAGAATCTTGAGTATTTGTCCTTTCCAGATCAGTGTAAATTTTGGGGTCAACCGGGCCTCCTTTTGAAAGGATTGTTACTAAAAATAGACATTGTCTCGTGAAATGACGGAAATGCGGAAATTAAGATTTTTATTCTAGCTTTCTAAAATTAAAAGCAAAAGAATTTTTTTAACATATGAATCATAGAGAAAATATGCTTGTTTGAATGTTTAATTCTTTTTTTAATCTGCTGATCCACCTAATATTACTTTCTAGGGCGAATTAAACATATTTAGCTCAAAATTATAAAGTTCATTACTAGTAAAAATAAATTGCTGCTTGATATTCTGACTACAGATTTCTTTTTAAAATTAACACATTATTTTCCAATGTTCTCTCCCTTATATGGCATAAAAATTAAGTGGGGCAGCGGGCATCAAACAAGAAAATTTCACATTTTTAAACCAAATTTGCTGAAAAATGATAATTTGAAAAATCTTTTTAACATCTATACTTTTAGGATTTGGGTGTAAAAATCGCTTTAAATATTTGAAACTATCGATAATAGAACAGTAATAAGTATGGTTTAAATCATAAGTTGAATATTTAATGCATAGACGGCCAAAAATTCGTTTTCACGATTCACAAGCATAATAGTAATCGGGTTCAATCTTCGGAATATTCTATAAACCGTTAATGCGCATGTGTGACGTTGTGACGGAAGTGAAAGAAGAAAATACTTTCAATTTCAACATGGGTAGTTTGGATGCGATTTAGTTGATTAAAAATTTAGAGAAGTGGCACGTTTTACTACTTTTTGTGTCTATGTAATACATTTCTCGCTATTCTTAGATACAAATAAGTGGTTTGTTTGCCACATCTTTTTAACGTCTGGTTTCTGATCTCAGGAAATGCTCGGACCTGTCCAAGTAAGGTTCAACGTTGTTTATCATGTTTTTATTCACATACCATATAAAATAGATCAAATTAATGTACGCGGAGATGAATATGTTCAGTGTTTCCACTTTGTAATGTTTGTTTGTTTAAAACACCGTGCTTACAGGCGATCATATCCTTGGAAGGCAGAGATCCCCTTCTTAAGCTAGGGACACTCTAGCACTGAATGATCCAGGTTTTCCGTACATAACTCAAATTCGTTTAATAAATTCAAGCTCCATAGTTGATGACTAGAATTGCATTGAGAGCATCATTACTAAAGCTCAGTGATTGGGAAGGCCAAAATGGTCAATGGGACTATGGCGCAACTGTCAACATTTTTGATGGGCCATATCGAAAATAAATGGGCCATCAATATAATCTGAAGGGCCACTTTAAGAAATAACAAAGTGCCAAACAAATATGAAGTACGAGAGAAAACACATTTTTAATTAACCGAATCCGATTTTTAACGCATGAAATGCAGCAAATTTAAAGGAACTTGCTTAGAATATAATTGACCCGTATTGTTTGTTAAAATTACGACAGTTTTGGAAAGGGAGCCCTACCATACAAACGAATGAAGCATTGTACCTCATGTAAGTGCTTCGTTTAACCGGAAGTACTTTTTGACAGGTTTCAACCAATGAGATTTGTTGTTTTAAATTGACTGCATTCAAAACGAAAGTAAATCAAGAAAGAAACATATACACATAATATTTCCAAATAACATTGCTAAAAATTGAATGCGCCCCTTGGCGCCATGATTGATTGATTTAATGCGCCATTTTTCACTTTAATGCGACTATGGCGCGTGGCGCAAGCCCTTCCCAATCACTGAAAGCTATGTCATTTAATTGGTAAAATGTGAAGTAATTTATGTATTTTTAAAATCAATAAGGTTTTATAAATATATGAAAGAGTTCATAATTAAAAGGGTTAAGTAAGTCAAACAATAAAAAAATAGTTGTTTTATGTACTCTGACCGAGCTGTCAAAATCACTCTTACACAATAATTTTTGTCAGCACTTATATTTTTTTTTCTCGTTTCCATAGTATAATTTCTATAGGATGCTTTTTGATTGCAATTTTCATGGCGGATCTAGTGGTGAGTGTGTGTGTTCCCATGGACATTGCAGAATTATTAAATGTACATACTTAACCTAGCAGTACAATTATTCTCTGCCATCCTTGGACTTTTAGTAAGACGTAGTATTCTCGGCACTAGTGTCTTTCAAATGGCAAATAAATTTTCATTGGTTAAAAAATTAATAACATCAGGTACTTTTAATCATTGTTGACAATCATTAGACAACTTATCGGTAATCTTACTTTCTTATATGTCCTGAATTTCTATCCCGGCCACATATATTTCAACGATGAATGAAAGCTGTGTAAATTTTAGAGGCTAAATACATAACATCAAGAATATCCCACCTTACTGAAAGTCCTAAGATAACAGTGAATTTTACTAAAAGTGACCTTGGATGGCAGGACCCCTCCTTGGAAAAACTGATCTATGCAAAATTGGTATGAAAAGTCATTGGTATGATGCTTTAAAAGTCAACACTCCCTGAGTAAGTAGAATGTTCTATGTTAAAGTGATATTTTTATATGGATCCAGTGAGCATTTGTTCCATGAGTTTTGACACAGATTACTTTAAACATATTTTATTGAGTATAATTCAATCAGGATTGGGCAACAGGCAATGCCTATGTAAACCCTCGCCTTAAACACACACAGATTCTCGAACCTGAAATTGTCTGAGCTGATGAACATCATTTTAGGTACTGAATATTTAATTTGTATGTATACTTGTATATTAAAAGAGAGGAATAATACATGCATTATGAACTTGGTCTAGTTTAAAAAAAAAAACTCTTTTCTGTTGCTCTGTGCCTAAAATAAAAAATTTTAATCAAGACATCCAAGATGGTTCAATTTGACTTGTATTGGATGTTAGGCAGTTCAATTATACTTCTTTAAAATTGTATTCTAATAATGAAATAGAAAAAAAAGATTTTTCCTTCTCCAGCTTTTTATCATGCTACATGACACAGCACAAAGTCCTAACTCATAAGTTTGGGAAGGAATCTTCATTCATTTGGGGGAAAATGGTTTGATACAAGTTTTGCATGCTGGTCCAATACATTATCTGGCTTTTTGGAACTGTGTTGCTTAGTGCATATTGATGTTAAAATAGATAAATGTGTAGGTGTATAATATTATTAAGCTCAATATGATATCAAAAACTATTTATGTAGGAAAAGAAAGAACTGAATAATCACTGGGAAAGTTATGCTATTTTTTTTTTAAACAAGTATCTTGATAAACCAAGTTTAACATCAACAAAAAAAAACTTATATAATTGTCTCCCCTTTCACTGAAAGTGGGGATACTAAATTTAGGTCTGTGCATCTGTCCGTGTGTCTTTCTGTCTGTCTGTAACACTTTCAAGAAGCCTTTGCATTGAAATTTTACACAGCAACTCTCTGTGGCTGAGGGAGACCCTTATTGATTTTGTGATCAAAGGGTCAAGGTAATTATGCAATAAATTCTGTATGTTGGAAAATTGATTTGTTTTTGAAAAAAAAACACTGTCATAACTTTTAAGAGACAGTATTAATAATTTTTCATTCAAATAAAAAGCTACAATCTTGACATAAATCCATTAAATCTAAACTGAAACTGGTTATCTTTGTTTTTAATGATTAATCCATGATTAAACCACGCACAAACAACCTAATTGTACATATAATTATAACATTGTAAGCACTCGGCGTAACTAACAGAGTTGATTTTGTGAAATGTTGGATTGAAATTTTATCCTTTTCCTTATTCCTTTTTATATCACCCTCTATGATCTCATAGGCATTCCTATTTATCATCTTATACATGTATTCCCTTCTTTGTTACTGTCATATTGTTATTTGTGGGTTTAAGTCTAACTATCATAACAGTAATCATGGTAATGCATAAAATTGCACATTATCTTATTAGCGACTGATACCTATTGCTATACTATTCACGGGTGCTTGAAGACAGAAATATCCCCATTCCCCATCTGATATAGACCCCTTGGTCTGTTCGACGTATGTTTTTCTCATTTATTATACATATTGTATATACCGTAGATGAGAAATATGTAATTTTATCATCAATTTGGAAATTGGCTCTAGCAAACATATAACAAGAGGCCCAAAAGGTTCAAAAATGGTTATGTACTATGTACAAGTATATAAGCAAACGATAATGACTTTCGACAAAAGAGAACCATTTATTTGTTACTCTGTATTTTTTCAACTTCCAGAGAATCGAACCCAGGACACCTGTCAGTCTAATGACATGTGCAGCAATACACTACATTGTATACCCAAAGCACTACAAATGATAGCTAAAGATTATTGTGCACTAGCTTTAAAACAAATTTTTCCAAATTTTCAGCATATATGTCACATATTATGTGTAATTTGTGTATTAAGGAATTTTTTTGTCAATGTATCAATGTCCTTTCCTACTTAAATGAAATATTCTGGGTTTTTTTTATCAATAATTATTTTATGTTTCAGTGCAAGGATATACCAAATAACAGAGCATTAATATTTGTGCAGTAACTGTTTTATGTATGATATATACATTGTAAAAAAAAAGTTTTCCATAATTTTTTTTCAAAATCCTGAGTCAATCCCCAGGGGACGATATTTTAATTCAAACAATCGAGAAGAGAAAAACGACATATAAAAATCGGAATATTGAAGCAAAGTAGTTAGGTACCTGAATACTTTCAGAGCCGTACGTGGTTCGAAAATGGTTATGTACTAAGCCTATGTACAAACATGTAAGCAAACGATAATGACTTTCGACAAGAGAACCATTTATTTGTTACTCTGTATTTCTTCAACTTACAGAGACAAAAAACGACCCGATTGTCGAAGTCTTTTAGTTATCTTGTACTCGAGACAATGAATCTTCCATGCCATCTTTGTTGTACTTTCGGTTTGACGAATCATCTAAATTTAAACTCTCCTTCGATCATGCATCCCGGAAAATAACTGAACATCGTATTTATTTATGCCTTTTATTTGGAAATTAATGTACCCTTTTTTTTCCGGTAAGTGAAATCGACGTCAGGCATTTTTGATAGAATAAGCGTCGGGCGCGTTTGACGTAATAACGTCACAAACGAGAATAACGTCACATAACGTTATTTTACGTGGTATGGATCTTTACCTTAATAATAATTTTTTTGGGTTGAATTAATTTTTCCATACAAATTATGAAGAGCACCATACCTCCAGAAATGGAATGCCCAAAACTTTTAGATCCACCAGTGCCGGGCACTGACGAAGCATTTCAAAGTCCTTCCAGTCATGCAGCTTTGTCTGGGTAAGAGACAGACTCTTCATTTTGGAAAAAATTTCCTCCATGTTGTTTTCCTCTTCATTTTGAGACCTGAGGTTCTCTAGATCTGATTCAATGTTCACAAAATGTTCCACATTTGGAAAGAGTCTACCAACTTTATGTAACACAGACCAGTCTTTGATTTTGTTTTTTGACATGTGGATTTTTTTGACAGTTGGATATGTTTGGAAAGGATCTGGTAGTGAAATGTCTTCATGTTCATTGAGACTTAAATGGATTTCTGTTAGTCTGCAAAAACCAACAATGAAACTATACTTGTATGTTGGAAAGACAAACACATTAACTGTAATAGTGACAAATTATCTAAGTTCTAAATGTATGTACAGTAGTACATGTATTTGATTCCTAAATTTGCACTTTGGGACAGACATTTTTCTACTTGTTCATGATCAAAATAAAGGAAAATTTAGATACTGCATAAACTTTCATTTTGCTCGAAGCCAGTATTGGAATTTCTAGAAAAATATCTTTTTTAACTACATTGAGATTACAGACTTGTGTCCTCAGTTTTCATTATTGATATTAATTTGTTCATTAGTATCAATATCATATTAAACTTATAGCACTTAAAATATAATAAATAGTTTTGCATACTTACGATGGACACAGACTTAGAAAATTATGTGTAACGTCCCATGAAACCCCAGTGTTGTTCAGAATAAGATGCTGTAGTTCTGAGAAAGCTGCAAGGTCCATGTCATCTGGCCAGGAATCATTGTCAAGAAAATTAGCACACAGGTTCAAAAACTTAATTCTCGGCATACAGTCTATCAAACACAGTATCTGAAGAAAAGTAGGTCAAGTTTAAAAACTCTACTTAATGAAACTTTAAATGTCAAATGCACTGGTACCCCCCCTTATTTTTTGAAGATCTTTTGGAGAATAACTCTCTTAAAAAATCATTTTTAGCTTCTTTGCAATCATTATCTAATTCAAATTAAATCTTCCAGTCACTTTCCCTTGCAACTCTGTGGAGATTTTCTGGAATATTGATCACATGACACATCAGCTGACACTTACATCTTTCCAATCTGTCAATAAGTTCTTTGTTAGATCCAGCTCTGTAATGCTGCCACACATCTCTTTCAGCTTCTTTATATCACCAATGCTATTTATTCCCTCATCGTCTAAAACCAAGGCAGGTGGAAGGATCAGGACATCTAAACACAGAAACATCCCTTATTTTTTCAGCCAAAACATTATACTAATTACACTAATTTAAGAGTTTAAAAAAGAACATGCAAACAAACAACCATGATTGATGTGTAATATTATTTAAGAAAAAATTGAAATATGCAATCACTTCCTGGTAGGGAAGATCTTTACCATTCTCGCTTGAAGTAGACTCCCTTCTTCTCCGTGGAACAGCTATGAAATCAAAGGACTCGTCATCTCCTGGGCCATACTTAGCAACAATGGCATCCACCAAAGAGGTCATATTCCTTAATTCTACAATAAGAGACATTAATTATCAATCCTTAGTTTGTCAAAAAAAAAAATAAAAAAATTCAAGTTCTGATTAAAGTGATGTCACTATTAAATGTTTTTTAAACCCCAACATTCAGCAGAATATCAAGGCAGTTTATCATAGTCAAGTGGTCTGGATGACACCCACCCCCCCCCACCCCCCCCACCCCCCCCACCCCCTAAAAAATTTTTTTTTTCATTCTCCCTGTCATTTTTTTTACTTTTAATGAAATAAATGTATTCTTCCAAAATTCCTTTCTTTAAAGATACTGGTAAAAAAAAAATGCTATCTGGCAGACCTGACTGATAAGACACCTGACTGGGAGTAGATGGTGTGTGCATAGACAAAAAATCTGCGGACATTTTATATATACAAACTATACAAGCTTACATTTACCACTGCAGCTTCAATGTGCTAGTATAGTAGTAGTCACCAACTATTAAAATAAATACCGTATATACTTGCCTATAAGTCAGTCCGCCTATAAGTCGGTTGTATTTTTTTAGGTTAATTTGGAGGGATTTGTCATTGACCCGCATATAAGTCGGTAAAACTTTTTGTCAAAACCTTTTGACATTTTATATCAATGCTTTGATGGTTTTACTTGGTTTCCATTAATATTTTTTTGAAATAATGCCAATATTTAATTTTGGATCATTAAACAAACAAGCTAGAAATGCAGAGTTAAGATAAAAAAAACACTATTTAATTAAGTTAATACTTGCAGCAGCACTTTATGTATGATCTTTTAATGCATAAATGGTTATACATATATAGACATTGTTCCTCACTGATCGTCAGAAACACATATAAAATGCTACATTTCACTGTCCAGAAAAACTTGTATATTTATGACTCGCCTATAAGTCGGACATAGAGTTTTGGACCACAATTTAACTCCCAAAATACCGACTTATAGGCGAGTATATATGGTACATGAAAGTATATTTGTTACAAATGTAATCAACAAGGAGAAAAATTATGGGAATTGGCCAAAAATTCAATACAAGCAAGTTTATTTGACTGCAGAAATGACTATAAGGGTTGCAGGGAGGTGGACAAAATATACAGGTTGTTTTAAAATATGTCTAGAATAGGGAGTGAAAGGTAGTTTATTGGCTAATGCTGGAAAGTAGAAAAATTCTCCCCAATGATGCGCAGAAAATCTTGGGATTAAATTGCACATTGTTTGCATTATGGGATCTGAAGTGTAATTATTAATTTTAGTTAAGTGTGACGTTTTGCATTACATCACAATCTTTTTCGACAGATGCACCCAGCGTAAACAATTCACGCCCCCGCAGTGTGATTGGTCAACTCATATTATCAACATTGACACGGAAATAGTCTGTTGCATGAGCAACCAATCAGGGATTAGAAGAAACTTCCAGTTGTAGAGCTTGAGGTTAGGAGGCATGTACTATTTACCTTGAGCGCAGCTGTCATCATAGGTTGTGATGTAATGCAAAACTGCCCACTAAAAATAACTGAAATTGATAATAACTGGTCAAATTCTAAAATATACAGATCTGCAGCTTGTGCATGTTAAGTAAAGAAACAGTTTCATAAAGGAAAGGAGTGGATTTTACTAATTATCCTTGCGTAAAAAGTGAAAAAAAAACTACAATATTTCCACATGTTCCACAACAGTTCTGTTAAATATCTCTTCAACATTTTTTTTTAAAAAGTTCAATCTTTAAATATCAATGTCAAGTTAATGCTTACCAACAAGAACTCTTTTCAAATAATTTTGCATATATTTGATCTTTTATTTATATACCTCGGTATCATATCAACATGATCAAGTGACCATGAATATTTGATCAATGATCACTGATGAGTAATTTTCTAAATAAGGTATTACAGAGTTACACTTACACGCTATCATTTCGATGACACCTTTGCATGGAATAAAAATTGTTTAACGAAAACTTAATTTTGCAATTAAAAAGAACAAAAAATGTTACATAAAATATGCCTAAAGAATAAATATCAAATCAACCCACTTCACCCAATGTAAACAACGGCGAACGGGGACAGCTGTTAAATCGAAAGTGAAAGTAAAACAACGCATTCTATAAAATTTCGATAATACGGTATTATCTAATTTAAAACAAATTCGTCGGACTATGGTTTTCATTTTACTCTAAAGATTATTTGTGTGGAAAGTAGAATTACTATCATCGCAACATTTTGTATTCATAAAACAAATGATTTTTTTTCTCTTTTGTTTAGGGTAATAAATTCACGTACAACTTATTTACGAATCCACGTCACTCTGTCATCAAAAAACAAAACTAAATTTTTCTCCAGACTTAAGACTAGGATGACAGATAATTATGGTTCAAAGTTGGAAGGAAATATAGATATTCCTGAGGTTGACCAAAATTTCAAGGGGTACGGTATATTCATTTCATTCTGTTCTTGGGTGTATAATCCAAGATTTGAAGAAGGTTCCGCGGATTTTTGTAGGTTACTCTACACAGGTCTGGTACAATCACTAGATTTAGCTACGTAGCTTGATTTACCTACTTAGCTTTATTTACCCACAGGCACCTAAAGTATGGATAATACCCCCCCCCTTTTTTTTTAATGAAAAAAAAATGTAAGAGTGTATAATACCTCGAAAATATAAAATTTCCCCGTCAAACACATCTATATGTCGTTATATGCAAGCAGATTGTACTTTTTCTCACGTTTAAAGAATGGCCCTATTCGGTATATAATAAAGAATACAAAAGTTAAGTAAACAAAAGGGGGTGTAAACAAACTTCGAGACAGATTTCCAAGGTAATAACAGTGTTACCTATCATTTTTGCAAACACTCTGTCTGGAAGATGTTCTTTACTAGTCTCTCTAACCTAAACCCCGCTATAAGTGTTAGATATGCCGTAATCGGACGATTTATTAATCGGATACATAGATTTTCTCCATTGACAGCTTTGGAGGAGGTTTTGGAGCTGCTTATCTGTTTCGCCTTATCTGATTGGTTAATTGTAATACAGTTTAAATATCTAACCAATCAGATAAGGGGAAACAGATAAGCAGCTCCAAAACCTCCTCCAAAGCTGTCAATGGAGAAAATCTATGTATCCGATTAATAAATCGTCCGATTACGGCATATCTAACACTTATAGCGGGGTTTAGGTTAGAGAGACTAGTAAAAGAACATCTTCCAGACAGAGTGTTTGCAAAAGTATGATAGTTAACACTGTTATTACCTTGGAAATCTGTCTCGAAGTGGGGCACTCACAACTTTTGTTTCTTACCTTGTGTATTTTTATTATATACCGAATAGGGCCATTCTTTAAACGTGAGAAAAAGTACAATCTGCTTGCATATAACGACATATAGATGTGTTTGACGGGGAAATTTTATATTTTCGAGGTATTATACACTCTTACATTTTTTTTTTCATTAAAAAAAAGGGGGGGGGGGGTATTATCCATACTTCAGGTGCCTGTGTATTTACCTACCTGAGATAGCTTTATTTAGCTACCAAATCAATTTATTTCTATAATTAATAGAAAAAAGCATTTTTCTCTATTTCTCAGGATGTGCAGAAAATCTCATTTTGATGCAGTGATCATTTTCAACTTTGAACTCATCATGAAAAAATCACTCTTGAAGAAATGTCTTTTTCTGCGCAATTGCAATGAAAGTTCTGGAAGTTTGGGGGCTATGTTTGACAGTTAAAACAGTTACTCCTTGAATGAAATGACAAAGAAGCCCAGTTCTGGTTAACTTGATAATAGGTCGGTAATTATTCAGCACAATGTGAAGTAATCATACTCAGCCATGCCTCACCCCATGCAAGAGAGGGGACAGTTACCCAAACAATGGAATTACATGTTTTGCTCTAAATTGTCCAAATGCAGCAATGTATAAACTATTTCAGCTTTGGATTGTTTTTTTATAACTATCTAGTATAAACATTTATAGTCATGCAATTACTTGTGATTTTTTGTCTCTTTTTAATAAAAAGAAAAATTTTGAAAAGTTGCATTGAAATAGCTAAATAAAGCTACCTGAGATAGGTAAATCAAGCTACGTAGGTAATTCTACCTACGTAGGTTAATCTAGTGATTGTACTGGACCTGCTAATAAGCTAACCATTCATAAAACAGTTCACTGAAAAAATTAAGCAATCCCATTTTTTTCTTATTTGTTTGCAGATCATTTTTATCTTCTGCTCTACAGTCAAGGTATTTTATTAATTAGTACCGTATTACGCTTTTCAGTTTGTGGCTCATCTAACTTATATCATTATATTAAACATAAGGTGCTTGTTTTCAAGATGGTAGATTTTGTAATCTGATCACTAATATACAGAAATAAATCAAGAAATATTGGATTAGCATTTTTCTAAAAATATTGTTTTTCTGTTTAGAAAATGCAGGGTTTAATAATTGAATTGAATCTTAACCCAATATCCATCTGCATGCTTCCATCAAGAGGTGCCTTGGTTCAGACTTGTCATAATTCATTCAATATCTTGGGGCATTCTGGTAAATCAGGGGCATTTCGGTAATTCGAGGTACCGTTCAATATCTACATTTTTCTTATATGGTGTTGGGTGAGGTTTAGATTTAAAAATGATTGAAGAACTCTATTTTTATTGTCCACCAATTTGCACTTACGATATAAGTAAAAAAGTGTAGTGATCGAACCAAAACTTTCACACTACCCCTGAAACTGACAGGAAGTTCTGAACAGAAAATTAGGTTTTTATTTTTAACTACTGAGTATGTATGTAAAGTATAGAGACATCCTGGAATTGTATGAAAGTCTTGAGAGAACAGGTTGTTTAAAAAAGCTTCTACTTTGTTTATTGTTACATGTATCCTTGAAAATTAAAAAAAAAATCATTTCCAAGATTTGAAAAAAATTTACATATTATCTCTAGCACTTGAAAAATCTTGAGATTTTGAATAATTTCAATTCTTTGTTATTTATGGCTTCAGGCTTTATAAAAATATAATTACAAATTTATTTATACTGCAAACATCAAATAACTGCTGCATGTATTTTCTTCATTGCTTTATACATTTTTACTCTGAGATGCTGTACATAATGTGATAAATTAACTACTGTAAATCACTTTTTATTCGCGAGAACTTTATTTTCGTGTAATTACGCGAGACAGTGTGCTCGCTAAAATTTAATTCTCGCGTATAATAGTATTCCTTAAGATTATATAGAGCAGTAACCAGGATTCGTGAAAATTTTGTCTCTCTAATCAAGAGACAATGACTATCTCGCGAAAATAAGGTATCGCGAAAATTTAATGATCTACAGTATTATTGGAAAGAATACATTTATAATACTCCTGCCTGATAGCTGATTTTTTTTTAAGTTTTAAACTTTATCACACAAATTATGATATAAAGAACCTGGTAAAGGATAAAACTAAGTACACTTGATGAAAAATGGAAAACTATTAAATTCTCTGAAGTACTAAACCTGCTCCCTATTCATGAGTTTAGGTAGTTTGGTGAGAGCTTGGTATAATGCTTTGTTTATATACCAAAGTCAATATAATCTAAATATTTAATCAATGTTATTTTAAGAGTTTGTCAGTTTATATGTTTTCTATCATATATATTTTAGGATGTCTATATCACTGTCTAATGTAAATGCCAGAGAATGGTTCACCAAGACCAGAGAGGGTGTCAAACCATGGGGAGAGTTCTTCAATTTCAACAAGTTCAAAGTTCCCAAGTCCGTAGCACCTGTTCCCAAGCGCGTGGTGCGGAACATTGAACAATTCCAGAGTAACTACATGTTTGTCTTCGGTGGTCTCATTGTTTTCTGCATGTAAGTATATAGACGTACACATATACTGATGAGAATCTGAAAAATCTAAGATTGATTTCTCAAGTTACAATTAAGAAAGAAATGAAAGTAATATTTTATACATTCTTGCCAATAAAAAGAAAGAAAAATAAATAATGCTTGCATTCTGAACATTTTATTTATGCATTTGTTACATATCCTTTTAAGGCAATTGATGTCATGCCTTATAATTCAGGGATATTCATTATTGGGGGTCTATCCAGTTGTTAGCTTTAAACTGAATTGAGGTACTATTCTGAAGTAAAATAAAACTTGCAATTAAATGAAATATTGAAAAAATTAAAATAATCAGTATGGGATTTTTTACTGTAAAAAATTGTGTATATTTCTACCTGAAATTTGAAAAATCACAAGCATCATGGAGAAAATTCTTTTTCATACAGTGAAAAATAATGCTGTATTTCTATTTTAATTCATTAATTATGTTCAATGATTGTAGTCTAAATTTTGTTTTGTCCATTAACAATTATTGAAGAAAACTGGGTTTATTTTGTTCCAGTTTGACATCTCCCTTATTGTTGGTGGCAATAGCTGTCTGTCTTGGAGCTTGCTACATTATAAGTCTGAAAAACCAGGAGAGAAAAGTCAGAATATTAGGTTTGTGTCACAATTTGTATTCAGAATTATGTGAATTTGCTAACGGTGATACCAAAAGTTGCATGATTTTAGGTTAAACAAAGATTACATGAGTAAATAATTTAATATTGACATTTGTCAGTGTTTTTGTTTTCAAAACACTGTTTAAATGTAAACATTACATGTGTCTTTGTTACTTTATTTTAAAACATTTTATTGTAGGAAAAGAATTAAGTTTGGTCCAGCAGTATGCTGCTGTTGGATTGTGTTCTTTTCCTATTTTCTGGTTGGCTGGAGCAGGATCAGCTGTTTTCTGGGTCATAGGTCAGTACATGCAAAAAAATGTTTTAGGGCTTTAGTCAAGATTTTTTAAAGAGCAAAAAAGAGTAAAAAAAGATGTTATTCTTAGGAATAAGTGAAATTAAACTAATATTTCTAGATTTACATTGTAAAAATTGAATTTATTAATTTGAGGGATGTGTTTAAATGTATTTTGTAGGTGCCTCCTTCTTTGTGATTATGCTGCATGCTTCAATGTACATAACAGCAGAGGAGTCGGAAGCTATAGAGCTTGAAATGGAGGAAGTCTAGACAGGCTTCAGGCTTATTCTTCTTATACTGTGTATACTGTGGCAATATCATTCATGTTTGTCACTTCAGAGGGCAAGGGAACTCACCAATATTTCCATGTTAGTGAAATCCTATTTTTGACCATCATTTGGGGTTTTATTTCACAATTTCTGTGTGTAACCATTTGGTATACAATCATTTTGGTATGGTGACAATCTATGTGCGAGCATGTAACGTCAAAATGTTTCCAATGTTATAACATGACCTATTTCTGTGCCATTTCACGTCCACCCCATACAGAGAATTATAGAAGAAACTTATTTATTTATTGAAGACTCTATATTCAGAATATATTTGTAAACAAATATTTTCAATGAGACTTTTAACATTAGCATGTATATTTTAAGTGCATACTGAACAAGGATAGATCAGAAAATTGGTGTCCTCAGTTATGTATATTCAATTATGTCTCCATGCAATCATTTTATTTTGCTAAAATTTTATGCTCACCTACAAAAAAATCATGAGTAAATCTAGCTTGATTTTCTCCATTAATCTGATTTACAAGGAAAGACAGATTCATGCATATGGGGAATAATTGGGACTGTGTGTAAATTACACCCCCCCCCCTTCCAAAAAAAAAATTAAATAAAAGTTTGAGTGTAAAGTTAAGAAGCTGTTATTGTAATTTTCTTTTAGGTATAGAAATGATTTTCTAAACTACCATTTGTCAAGATTTTTTTCTTCACAGCTGTAAATAATTATGGGAATGCAAGACATTGTCACTTTTGAAAAACATTTACATGCAATTTATTTTGCAGTTATAATTTATCTGTATCTATGCATGATATATGTATATGAATCTCATTAATCATATGAATTGTATTAATCTTGTGATGAATTTTGTTATCATGTAGGTATCGGGATCTTCATGTAAAGGTGATATAACACGCAGTCTAGGAAAAATGCCAATACATTTGATACAGTGTAAATTGATAAGGAATGATAAAATCATTTATTTAAAAAAACGTCATAAAACAATATTAAAATACATATATTCATTGATTTAAATTGTTTCTGGTGTTGTTGTTTTTTTGTTGATGATGTAAAATTAAATGCCTTTTGGTACGCTTTTAAATGAAATAAATATTTTGAAGGGAATAAAAGCTTATTATTTTAGAAGTTTGGCTTTTTTTTTCATTTTTTGAATTGGTGTCTATTTAAGGGGTACAACACTTTTTCATTTCTTTTTTAAACAGTAAAAGTTATTTTCATTCCACAAGCTGCCAAGAAGAGGTTCCACTTTTCACAGTGTTAATTTGCTTTTAGAGATCTTTTTTGGCTAATACATATTTTTTCCCCATTGATCTTGTTTGTTATATGAAGGAATTAAGATCTCATTACTGTTCACAAATTTATGAGGAATATATCTGCGTAAATGTAAGCATGTTTAATTATTTTGGATTATTTGTAAACCATAATAATTTATAGAACGTTTCTAAACACGAAGAAGCTACACATTATAGTGTTTTCAAATAAGAAACTTGTACATGTTTACTTCAAGTAATGAGATTTGAAGGATCACAAAATGTTCATTAAATAAATTACTGGTAATTTAACTTTTATCAGTGTTTCACAGGTATCACACACAAAAGGTTTCAGATTTGTATCTTCGTTAGCTGACATTGGGATTTTTTTGTTTGTTTTAATTTTAATAACGTTAAAATTATACGTGTCATTTCCGGGAAGACAACTCTGCAATTTACTGACAAAAGTTCTTTTTCTAAGTCTTTAGATATAACTCACATGTAGACATAAAAGCTTAAGCTTTTTTTTTTGTTTTCTCGTATTAAAAATGTTAATAATTTAAACAGTTAATGAAAGTGTTTATTCTTGTAAACACAGTTTTTAACAGTGACGTTATACTGAATAAACTTAATATTCTAAGGTTAAAAGGAAAAATATTAATAAATGTACTGATTTGAATTGCAAAGAATACTGGACAATTTACAAATAATATCTGTTGTTCAAGAAAACATACTCACAGCAATAACCTAAAGTCGCACCAGTTCTCGACTTCTCCTCCAGGAATGTTTGACGATTAAGAACAACACAATTCGGTAATAATGGTTGCATTTATATCAAATCATTGTATAAAACACAACCATTATCACTGTTCATGAAGTTCAAAAAACGAAATCTCCATTTGAAAAATTGCTCCAGAGCTCGGAGTTTCTGGACATCTCACTAATTTACTTTTTGTAATTTGCGTTTTTATATATATAACAATTCGATGTCCTTTTTCAACGAAATGTGAAAATATATCTGACGATATTGATAAGTGGAATTTGAACACATTACCTCATCCCTAATGATAAAGTAAAATATAAGCACACTTCCCTTTCGTTTTATCTGAGTGTATGTCGTCGTGTTGATGATTAGATATCTTTTTCTATTGTTTCAGAGTGTGTAAAATGTATATAATTATCATGTGACCCATTTAAATTTAAATCTTATGTAAGCTTGTTTGTTTTATTTTTTAAAATTCTAGTATGTAAAGTAAAAAATATTATGACACGATATAATAATATTGATAAATTGATATAATAAATTACGTGTTAATTATTATCTGCACTAAGGTCATCTGAACTCTTTTTATCCATGAAAATTGTATACTAATACATGTACTTCAAATGATTACAAATAAAATGTTAACAAATATCTTTCTGTGCAGAGAGAGAGAGAAAGAGAGAGAATCGATAGCCCACTGACATATTTCTTTTTATCAAATGAAATCTGTACCATTAGGATGTCGCAGATTTTATTTGATAAAATGAAATATGTCAGAAAAGACACTACTCCCACTTACCTGTATTTTAGCTATATTTTTTTTTTTTACACGATATTGATCAATATGGTATTTAAAAATAGAAATTAAACAGAAAAATTTAAAAATGTATATGTGTGTGTGTGTGTACATGTATTTTAAGTTATAATTTGACTATTTTTGCCTTTTTTGCAGATTTTACTTTGATGACGTGTAAAAATGTCAGTGGCGGATTTAAGTGGGGGGGGGGGGGGCGCACCCCCCCCCCCCCCCCCCCCCAAAAAAAAAATTGTCAAAGTTAGCGTAAATCACGGTTTCGTCTAGAAAATGTAAATATGTCTACTTGGTAAACCTCTTTTTTACCCTAGAAAATCTCTAGAATCCAGGAGCTTCCGGGGGCTTCACCCATTGGGGGCCTCAAGGCGGCCCCCAGACCCCCTGCCTATTTTTGGCGCCCACACTAACTTCAATTCCTGGATCTGCGCCTGAATGTTATAAGGACTATAAATATACAACGTAACAAATGTATTTTGAAATTACACTGTTGCCCTTTTAAGGCAGTTCAGATTTTTTTTTGGTCAATAGGTGAAACTCGAGGTCAAGATCAAGAAGACAAAAATTTTAATTGGTACTCAAGAGTGATGGATAAGGTAAAATTTTACAAATGCAGGATAAACTCCATGTTCAAGGTCACGAGATAAAAAAAATGTTGTGTACATAAAGAAAGGCCTTTTCAAAAGAAGTACGCATGTGAAATATGAGAGCCTTATCAATTCAAGTTAAAAATATCAAATTTAAAATTCAAAGTTTTACAAAAGTTGCTCAAAGGTCAAGGTCATAGGATCAAAATTTTGGAACCCAAAGAAAAGCCTCGTCACGATAAATACACAATATGAAATATGATTTCAAGTCCTAGGACTAAGGGTTTCGAAGTTAAAGTGTTTGTGTACAAACAAACAGGCAGACCAAACACTTTATCAAATCTGTCTACAGGGAAATAACAATACAAGTCATGCGTATATAAATGACCCAGACGATTATTTTTTGCTCCTGTAATCGAAGATTCGGGGATATATTTCAGTAGTTGTGCCCTGCCCGTCCGACTGTCTTGTCTGCCTGCTTGTGTCCGCAAAAAACTATAAAATTGCCCCATAACGTTTGTTTGGTTGGAGCTATGGCTTTCATATTTCAAAACTGCATTTGTTGTACAAGACCTTTCTTTGGATACCAACATATTTGACCTCTTGACTTTGACCATGGAGTCTAACCCAAAATCGCAAGAATTTACCCAACATTAACCCTGTTCATAACTTTTGAACAGGTGCTATGGCTTTCATACTTTACATGCATGTTAATTGTGACAAGATCTCCCTTTGGACACCAACAATTTTGACCTTGATCTTGGAGTTTGACTTGCATTTAAGAAACTTCAATACTAGCCATAAGCTATCATATTGGGGCATCTGTGTTTCACATAGACATACTTTTGAATAATTTATAGCTAGCTTGGTCATAAATTCTGAACAGATAGTACAAATGTACTAAGGACCTCATATTTCGCAGGTATATCCCATGTTACAAGGTTTTCCTTTGGATACCAACAATTTTGACCATTTGACCTTGAACTTGGAGTTTGACATACTTTTGAAAAACTTAAACCTTGGTTATAACTTTAGAACAGTTGGTGCTAGGACTTTCACATGTGTACTTCTTACGAAAGTTTTTTTTCCCCATTTTTTTTTTCCTTTTATCCTGACCTTGGAGTTTGACTCACGTTTTAAAAACTTTAACCTTGGCTTCAACTTTTTGATAGATATTAGGGCTTGGGTTTTCATATTTCACAACTATATTTCATAGAGACAAGTCCTTTCTATAGGTACTTGTAACATTTTTTTTTTAATCTTTTAACCTTGGAGTTTGAATTTTTTTGTAACTTCTGAAGTTTAACCTTTGCAAAATGCTGTCATACGTGGACACAGTGTTTCAGAAACAATGTTCAGGGCTATATAATTTGATTCATGTGTATTAATAAATTTCTAAATCTTTGGAACACTTCTATATTGATTTGACCAGAGCTTTATTCAGTTTTCTTTTACACTGTACGCAACTTCATTTGCCCCTGTAATAAGAATTTTGAGGGCTTCGGTTATACATATTTACATGTATATCGTTTGGCTTGTATCATATGGGTGACAAGACCTTTCCCTCAGCACCAGTAAGTTTGCCCCTTTGACCTTAACCTTGGAGTATGACCTACTTTTAAACAAATTTAACCTTGGTTATAACTTTCAAACAGTTAGTGCTAGGGCTTTCATACCGGTATTTCATAGGTGTATTTCTAGTGCCAAGAACATTCTTTAGGTACCTTCACCTTGGAGTTTGACTTGCAGTTGAGGCCAAAATAAAAAATACCTTTGTTTCCCCTAACGCGACCGACCCAATTAAATCGCACCGACTGAAAAGATTTTTTAAATAAGATGATTCAATAATTTTTTTTATTGTTAACCAAGTTTTATAAAATACAATTTCATCAAAATCAGTTTTTATCAGAACGGCCGACATTGTTCTACTGTGATTTTCAAGCATTTGTTGGAAACAAAATGACGTAAAAACAGGGCATTAGCTCTTCATAAAACAATGGCGAGTCTCAATCTTATGGTTTTAGCAGGAATTTCAATTCTTCACTCTTGAAACAATTCGGTAATAAAATTACCATGACTAATTAAGAGTGTTTCGGAGGTGTCTTGGCGTCTCCATGTGAGTGAATAAATTTTCGAAAGTGACGTTAAACAACTAACAAACAAACCTGTCTTTGAATTTAAGGTACGTAATACATGGTAAGGCCCGCCTCATGAGTAGATGAGGGGCCCACCTAGTGAACACATCATTCAATTTCACTGCATTTTTTTAAATTTGAGTTTTGATCTAATAACCAATTCATCTATGTTCCTATGTTTACTATATGCCATTATGGAACCATATAGGAGTTGTTGTAAATATGTCTGCATATTCATCCTGATTAATATAATTCAGATGTCTTTTCTTTACGTTTCTTCCTGCCTTTATTTAGTGGTTAAACTTCGTGACATTGTATATAGCATTTTTATCATTTGTAGATTCGGTTTGGTTCAATTAAATATTGTTAACATACTATTTTCAAATAGTTTTGAAATCATGATTCAGCTTCCTGAGACGTTCAGTGTATTTTTCTTTAATTAGGCCCTTGAAGTTTGGTTGTTTCTTTGCTTGTAATCCCTTCGAGATTTGTTTGGATGACATTTCCCATTGCTCCAAATTTAGACGTACTCAGCACTTTTTTTGCCATTAAGCAGTGGGGAATCTTTTTTTGAGCCAGCATCTTCTGCGACACTGGACATAAGTTTTTATGGTCCCCTTTGAAGGACCATTTTCAAGTTACTCATTGGGATTTGAACCTGCGATTTAAAATTAGCCACTTACTTCTTATCTCCAAAGCAAAATGCTTCAGCACCACTGCAAATCTCATGACCCTCAAAAAAAGTACATTGATCGTCTATAAGCTCTGCAGGCTGATGGAAGGTTCGAAAAAATATACTCATATGTCTAGTCTTTGCGTATTTGAGAATCTTGTCTATTTTATTCAATTTATATAAATGTAATGGCCTGAGATATTTCACAGGTTCAACTAAACAACAGTTGTGAATTAATTAATCATGAACTTCACGATACTTAGCATTTTGTTCACAAATCGCTTTCTTCTGTACTTTTCTTATTATAAAGGTAATTTTCCATTAAATTTTAGAATGTATTTTCAAAGCTGCTGTCAGAAAATAAAATTGTTTGTAATATCTACCTACCGACCCAACTTGGGAATTTACTGTCGGGTTAGGGGAAACAAAGATATTTTTAATTCCGGCCTGAGAAACTATTCATTATAACCATTGTCATGTTCTGCCATATAAGGACATCAGTGTTTTTCTGCCCCGCCATGAATATGGCCGATGCATATAGTGTTTGTCAGGTCCGTCATTCGTCCTTCCGTCACACTTTGCGTTTCCTCAGGTCAAAGCTCAGTTTCAAAGGAACTATTCAAGATATTTTCATCAAACTTCATATGCTGATAGATATTGATGAGAGCTATGCAACTGCATCAACATTTTTAGACCTTGATCTCTCCTTTGACCTTGACCTCACTTTTCTTAAATTCGTGTTTAGCTCAGTTTTAAACATACCGTTCAAGATGGTGTTATCAAACGTTACATGTTGATATAGACTGCTGAGAGCTATTCAACTGCATCAACATTTTTGACCTTGACCTTTCCTTTGACCTTGACCCCCCTTTTCTTAAATAAGTGCTTTGCTCCATTTTAAAGATAACATTCAAGATAGTGTTCATCGTCGCAAACCACAGCCAAAATGTACGATCATCTCCCATTCTCGCAAACCACAGCCAAAATGTACGATTCTCTCCCATTCTGGAGAAAGCTATATGCGGACTCCGGACCGTGGCTTGAGACGATGGATAATGTTATCAAACTTCATATGCTGATACATACTGAAGAGAGCTATTCAACTGCATCAACATTTTTGACCTCAAACTTTCCTGTGACCACACTTTTCTTAATTTAGTGTTTAACTCAGTTTTTAAGAAACCATCCAAGATATTTTTATCAAACTTCATTAGCTGATACATTCTGAAGCAAGCTATTTAACTGCATCAACATTAACATTTTGACATTGACCTTTCCTTTGATCTTGACCTCACTTTTCCTAAATCAGTGTCAAACTTCATATGCTGATACATACTGATGTAAGCAATTCAACTGCATCAACATTTTTGACCTTGACCTTTCATTTTACCTTGACCTCACTTATATCAAATTGTGTTTAAGTCAGTTTTAAAGAAATCATCCAATATATTTTTTATCAAACTTCATGTGTTGATACAAATTGATGAGAGATATTCAACTGCATCAACATTTTGACCTTGACCTTTCCTTTAACCCTGACCTCACTTTTCCTTAATTAGTGTCAAACTTCATATGCTAATGCATACTGATGTAAACAATTCAACTGCATCAACATTTTCACCTTGACCTTGACCTCACTTTTATCAAATTGTGTATAAGTCAGTGTTACCATTCATAATATTTTTTCAACTTCATATGCTCATATATACTGATGAGAGCTTTTCAACTCCATCAACATTTTTTGACCTTGGCATTTCTTTTGACCTTGACCTCACTTTAAAGAAGTTAGTGTCAAACTTCATATGCTGATACATACTGATGTAAGCAATTCAACTGCATCACTTTTCAAGATATTCTGATAAATATTTCATACACTAATACAAATTTTCATGTTACATTACTAATATACCCTCAGCGGGGCATTCATGTCCTATGGACATATTACTAGTTTAAAAATACATCTTGTTTTTGAAAAAGGTATTTTAAAAGTTGAACAAGAGGCCCATGGGCCACATCGCTCACCTGAGCACTGTGGCTAGCAGAAAAGCAGAAATTAGTTTATTATTGAAAAGTTTAAACCCAAAAGTAGTCCCAACCATTCCTTAAAGGAGAAATGGTATAATTTGTACAAACTTGAATCTACACTATCTGAGGATGCTTCCATATAAATATGACCAATCATGGCTTTGTTATTCTTGAGAAGATTTTTAATGAATTTTCCTATATATTTCTATGTAAAACTTTGGTTGGCCATTGTGGCCCCGCCCTACCCCCGGAGGTCATAATTTGAACAAACTTGAATCTACACTACCCGAGGATGCTTCCATATAAATATGATCAATCATGGCTTTGTTATTCTTGAGAAGAAGATTTTTAAAGAATTTTCCTATGTAATTCTATGTAAAACTTTGCTCGGCCATTGTGGCCCCGCCCTACCCCCGGGGGTCACGATTTGAACAAACTTGAATCTACACTACCTGAGGATGCTTCCTTTAAATATGATCAATCATGGCTTTGTTATTCTTGAGAAGAAGATTTTTAAAGAATTTTCCTATGTAATTCTATGTAAAACTTTGCTCGGCCATTGTGGCCCCGCCTATCCCCAGGGGTCATGATTTGAACAAACTTGAATCTACACTACCTGAGGATGCTTCCATATAAATATGACCAATCATGGCTTTGTTTATCTTGAGAAGAAGATTTTTAAAGAATTTTCCCATATATTTCTATGTAAAATTTTGGTCGGCCATTGTGACCCCGGCTTACCCCCGGGGGTCACGATTTGAACAAATTTGAATCTACACTACCTGAGGATGATTACACATGAGTTTCATCTTTCCAGGCACAGTGGTTCTTGAGAAGAAGATTTTTTAAAAATGCCATTATTTTTGCACTAATTCATAATTATCTCCCCTTGGAAGAGGGCATGGCCCTTCGTTTGAACAAACTTGAATCCCCTTCACACAAGGATACTTTGTGCCAAGTTTGGTTGAAATTGGCCAAGTGGTTCTTGAGAAGAAGATGAAAATGTGAAAAGTTTACAGACAGACGGACAGACAGACAGAAGGACGCCGGACAAAATGTGATCAGAAAACTCACTTGAGCTTTCAGCTCAGGTGAGCTAATAAAACACTACTAGTCAGTATGTCAATAAATTGCAAAGAATTGTTAAAAAAAAAAATCAAAATTTACCTGTGGGTTAAGATTGGTATATGTAACTGGCACATGAAACCAGTTGCTTTGTGGATGTTAAATCACTAGAGCAGTTTTATTGCAGTTTCGCTTGTATACCCCCTTCTCCAGCATCGAGGGCTGAGAATGGAGTGGGGTGGTCAAGGTGTCACAAGGGAATATATTGTAGAAACATGGGGTGAAATATGTGGAGATAACAAACAGTATTCAGCTCAAAAGTCCATTAAACATTACAAAATAGGAGCGGGGCAAACACAGATCAGGATAATATTCTATAGAGCAAGACTATAAATTTCCCTTTATTTTGCAATACATGTGTGAAGGAGACCCACTCCTGTATCCCCATTTCACCTATGTTTCCCTTATCCAACCCAAGAGTCTGGTTTGTGAAGTTTGCTCTAATTCAATGTAGATGCAGCACCCAACACAATACTTTAAATACCTAAAAAATTCCACTACACAGCCAGAACTGCATGAAAATAAAAAGAATACAAAAAAGACAAAATGATGGACACTTTTATTCTATACTACAAAACTACCATAACCATTATAATGTAAATAAATGATCAGATACAATAATGAATTTGTATAGTATTAAGACGTATGTGTTATCTAAAACATAAGTTACATGTTAACAAATAACATAAAATCAGTGACACAGGCTAAAATGGGGTGTAGAAAATAAATACAAAATTCTTTTATGTTTAATACATACATGTACATGTAGTTTGGGTGCTTGTGAGCTTGTATGCCTTTGTTAATATTATGTAAACATAAAGTACAGACAAAATAAATTCAGGCAAACAGACATTCACACATGTCCTGAGCAATGGACTGTGACCCCTTTAAGATCAGCAGTTTGTTTTAAGAAAATAAAATTGTTATGATTCCATTCTTCCCATGATTAAATGTTGGTAAAAATGACAGTTTTTTTTCCTTCATTTAAATGCTTAGATAAAAACAGGATGCCCAAAATTAAAGACAGCAATAAACTGACGAATGTCATAATAAAAGATGGACATTCGAAAATGTAAAAATTTGAAAAATGAGAAATATTTATCTTATTTTATGCTAAAATTTTTTTTAAAGAAGCTTGAAAATTAAAAAAAATTGCTAAGAAGTTTAACATGAATTACAAAGCTTAATTGACAAAAAGATGTGTATAAAAGATAAATTAATACACATTAATCTGGAAGACATTTGTTTCGAAACTGCATGATATGTCTCAGTAATACATAAATTCAGCTTTTCAAAAATTACATGTACATATAAAAATATGTTCCATCATCCAGGAATTACCTGGTAATCATGGGAAAACTGAATAAATACAAAACTGAAAATTGATCTTTCCCAAAATGTTCAAAAAGTACACAAATAAATAAAAAATATCAAAGTGAGATTATTCACAGATATACGAGAATTTCCACTCAAACACTTTCACTTCTAAAAACAACATTACATAGACATCGAAGTGAGCAGCACCAATAAAACATTTACGTTTCATGAACCAATGACAACACACAAAATGAAATCCACAAACTCTTGCGTATTATTCATATGACATGTTTATATCAAGATCTAATCTTCCCTTTGACAGGGAATTGAAACAGAACCCAATTTAACACTGTCTTTTTCTTCAGAATAATACAGTCAAACCCCTTTCTCTAGAACTTGATGGTCTAAGAAAAAAATTGTTTGTGGTGTCCAAAACTCAAATCTTAAATCAATATTGAGATTATAATACACGAAGATTTCAACTTGCTTCAACATAATCATTTTATTTGAGATATCAACTAAAATATGTATCTTGTCAATAGTAAATTGAGAGATGTGATTATTTAGTCTACTATTAGAGTTAACAAAAGACACATGCTACAAGTAACAGGTAATTGCACAAATTATTTTAAGATTATTTTTTTTTATTTGTACAAGTGCAAGTTATTACTATTAATGACAATTTTCTTTTGTAAAGCTCCTACATGCATAACAAGTAATTTCTTTATGTAATAAACAATTGCAAAAGTGCTATCGAAAAAATATGAAGTTTTTCACTTTAAACACTTTAAGGCACTTAAATTAAAAGGGAAAAAGTTACAGTTGTGTCAGTTCAACCGGTACCTTAATTGTTCTTAAGTATACACTTCAACGATATCAATTTATAAAGCTATCAAGATGAATTTTGTGACTAGATGATTTTTAGTTATATAGATATAGCTATGTTAAATGTCAATAAATGTTGAATATAAAATAACAACTATATAAATATTTAAAAGTTAGTGTGATATTTCTGATAAAAAAAATCTATGAGTATCAATAACTTTTTTTAAGAAGAAAATATTGTTAGAGTTATCTGCCTTGAAGTTTGTTCACTGAAATCTGTAAGTTTTCTGTACAAAGTTTTGGCACATTCATAATGTTAACAACTAGCTTTCTAAAATTACCCTTCCCTTAGGAGTGATCTTACATATAAAGCATGACTGAAAGTTGCACATTTTAAAGAGAATCTGAGTATAAATTCAAATTAATTTACATGTTATGTAAAAAACAAATGTTTCAAGTCAAATTTATAATATTAGTAAAAAAAATGTCTGAGTCACAACCACATATGGGATGATGACATGTATGTACAATAAATACAATTCATGAAAATCTCAAATTATACATTAACAACCTGCCAACGAGTCATATATCTTGCAAATTTTTACAACATATTAGTTTTCACAACAGCAAGGCACTTACTTTTACAACAGTTTGATATGTTCTCAAAAAAAGATCTGATTTCATGCAGTAAAGAAAAAAAAATAAATGAGTTAGTTAGTTGAAAATTACAATATAAATAGCCGGAAGATGAAACAAAAGATTCTAAAAAATGCTGCTTTTATTTTAAATGCATAGTGTTTGATATGATTTTCGATTCTTACAATGATACAAGGCATATGAATCACCTGGCTGTACATCTGCACCAATATATCTTTGCTTAGCTACATTGCACAGAAAAAATTAAACAAAATGATGATTTTGTCACTTATGCTCACAGTATTAAAAATACACTGTACACATACCATTGCAAGTTTGTTATAAATGTAAGTTCATTGTATTGGTTTTTGCAATATATATACACATGTGTGTATTGCTGCTAGTATTTCTCATAACATTGTACAAAACAAAAAGAAAAACTTAAATGTTCTAACTTTTCAATGTCATTCCATAACCATTACATAGTAAGCACATGCAGTTTAGACTTCTTTAAGAACCCTATTGTGCTATCCAAAAAAAACCCCTAATACATGTATAACATTTTGACCAAAAATCTGATACAACTGATAAACATAAAATTTTTCTTTCCTTGTTAACCATAAATTTTTTTTAGAAAGTATGACATGTTCCTAATTCTGAAAAAATTCTTTAATTTATTAAATGCGTGTTCATAGGCAATTTAAGTAAGTAAAATATAAGTCAAATCCCAAATCATTTTGACCTAATTAATTATATTCCTCCTCATTTCTGCCCACACAGAAGTAGAGTATACTGGCAATAAGTGACAGTGCAGTGGACCCCACAGCGACCCAAAAGCTCCAACCAAACAGGAGGATGGTCTCATTCTCACGATTCTTTGTTGTAAACACCTCAGCCTTGTTCCTAAGGTAAGCCTCTGCTCCAAATAGTGAAATAGCCACTGCTAGTAGGAGAACTGTAAAAGATGGTACAAATTCAATTTGTTTCAGAAATAAAATTCAAAGAAAACATATTGATATTACATAATATTCAAATGATACACATGATACACATGTACATAATTTTTGACATCATATCTTCAAAAAATATAGCCACCATCACTTATTATTAAGACTCTCATCTTGCCATACCAAGGACATGGGTGGATTTAATTTGTGACTTTTACAATACATGTATATGTTTATCACATTCTTTTACACAAAGTCCTTGGACTGTCTAAAATGAATGTAATTTTGTTTGGCCTAATTAGGCATATTATAGAAACATCTTGGACATTCAACAAAGGGCTCAAAAATTAATTAAAACACATTTTCAAACAAGGGATGTTAAATTTGTAAAACACTTATGCCCCCCTAGCCCCACATTGGAAATTTTACAAGTCCAAAAGGGCATAACTCTGTCAAAAATGGTGCGATTGTACCCAAAACAAATCTTGACCTAGATATTTATTTGAAAAATCTGTATATTAAATTTCATTTCAGAATGTGCAATGGTTGCCAAGAAAATGAACGGAAACTGCAAATAATTGGAATTTTTCGAAGTCTAAGGGGCATAACTCTGTCAAAAATGGTGCGAACATACTTAAAACAGAACTTGATCTAGATATTCATGTGATATATCTGTATACCAAATTTCATTTCAGTATGTGCAATGGTTGCGAAGAAAATGAATGGAAACTGCAAATAATTGGAATTTTTCTAAGTCCAAGGGGCATAACTCTGTCAAAAATGGTGTGATCGTACCCAAAACAGAAATTATTGACCTAGATATTCATGTGATATATCTGTACACCAAATTTCATTTTAGTATGTGCAACGTTTGTGAAGAAAATGAATGGAAACTAAGTGGACCAACAGACAGCAGCAAAGCAATATGTCCTCCCTTCTTCGAAGGGGGGCATAAAAATACTTTCTGAATGGAGATTTTTTTCTCTGTATGTTATATCGCAAATCAAGGCTATAATTATAACAGTAATAACACCCATAAAATAAACCTAAAAAGGAATTCTCTCACTTTCTGGTGTACTTCTGTCACCACGTGCCATTAATACGTCTTGACGATGATTAGACAGGTGTAAAACTAAGTCCCCTCCAGGTGCCTCTCAGGTGGGGCAGTAAAACGCTAAGAACTTAACTGTTAACTGTCGTCAATTAAACATTACAGCATTTCAACCATGTAAGCACTTTTTATTGTCTAGTCGTTACAATTCTCCAAGTTCTAGGCAATGCCTTGTGTGAATGTTTATTAGGTTATTACTAGGTAATGTGATTACGTGATGGATGATAATTAAGTCTTTTGGAGATGCAATGCAATTTCGAAAATGACAAAAAATATCAACTAAATTTTATGTAACTTGTTCATTATTAAACGCTAGTGCCTTTATAAATAACATTGAGGGATGTTCAGGGGGAAAATGTGATTCAATGAAAAACACCATAGAAAACATGGCTCATGTGCTATGTAAAATGTTTCCATAAAGCCAACATTTCTCATGTTTTTACACACGATTTTGCTTTATACCTGTATGTAAATCTGAATACCTATAGCTTTGAGGATGATTTTGGGGGTTGAATATGAAACAAAGGAAATGGCCTGATAATATGCATGTATGTAAATAATGGCAACTGTAGAGCTTCTGACAAGAGTTTTGAATTATTGAAGCTTTTTTTCTGAAACAGAGTGATTTTCCCCTGCTGCCAAACTCCAGATCTCTCAGCAAAAAGATTGTGCAATAGAATTTCTCTGATAACTCTTAAATTTTTATCACTTGTAAAATCTTTTCCAAAGGTTGCATGTAAAGGGTTGTCCTAAATATAGCCGAGATAATCTTTTTTTTTAATGGAGTAGCCTATTTAAGCTGTTCTTAACAAAGAAAACACAGACACACACTGCATCCCATCTGGTCTTCCAAAAATTCAAAAAAACTGTTAGATGTTCAAAAATTTCATTTTTTAGGGGACTTTCCTTTTTATTTAAAAATAAATCTAAAAACAGTTTAAATAAAGATGTATATTAAATATATGTACAATGTATATATTTTCAATAAACTCGAAAAATGTGTTCGGTATAAAAGTAACCTATTTTGATACAAGTTTTAAGAATATTCTTAATCAACTTTTCTTCAGCAAAAAATCCATACTTTTAACAAACATAAGAGTGTATTATTCAGATGATTTTTTTTCCTGCTATTAATGATTTTTTTCTGGGGGAAAGAAATAATTGGTTTTTAAAAATGTACATTTACTTGCCAGTACTTGGCAATCTGTACTAGTTTATCAGAACAAATTAATTAAAGATTATTTTCCTTCTTCCTTACAAGTCTATTCAATATATCTTTTTTACAATGCTTCTCTCTTACTTGTGCCTGAATTCGATGTAATATTTAATCATGTTACTTTAATATAGGAGAAACTTCCTCCTCTTTTCAAATTCACCTTGTGGTTCTGAGTTTTTCAATCTGGGCTTTTAATCTACACAATAAACTGGACATGCTGTATGCTGATAGATTTATCATTTAGTACATATGTTATTAGCTTTGAACTTGTTGAAATTCCTGTTTCATTGGTTAGCAGTCTTTTACATGAGGGTTTCCTCTGAAAGTTATCCAAGCATTACCAGAAAAAAATATTAAATTTTTATTTACTAAAAAATAAAGTACTTAAAATCTAATTCAATAAAACTTAGGCATAATGATAATTGAAAAAAAAATATTTTATTTACCAATAGTTGTATGTAAATACCTTTTCTGATGTATAATTATCTCAAGTTTTTGAAGCTGTGTATTCAATATTCATAACTTAAGATACAAAACAATCCTATTGTGTCATGTATAAAACAACTTGTAGAGAATATGTGGCGTACAGTCCAATCAAAAGTAATTAACACTCCCAACACTTCCAAACTGTGGAATGTGTTATTATGGTTTTTATGAAAAGGACATAATATCCCAAACTGTGACAATAATTTATCTTTAGACATGTAAATAACTAAATATTAATATTTACATCTGAAATATTTACCACATTCCTTTTTATTTGAAATTCCCCATTTTTTCTATAAAATTCCTCCTTAATCATCCAGTTTTTCTGCTAGTGAAATATGAATATAACCACTGTTTTATTATTTGTATGAAATATTTCTCTCATCCAATTAATAAACATAAAATCATTAATGATGACATCTATAAAATATCACACCTGTGCATACTGAATATCATGGGGGAGTTTAAAGATGATAAACAAAGAAGTGGATCTGACTGTTCTGACACAGTAAATCTTTTGTCTTCTAAAGAGTTTTTCTAAAACATAGTACACCATAATACATACATGTAAGATTGGCAAAGGCTCCGGTTGCTTGGTATGGGTTACATCCCTTGCAGGCCCAACAGAGGGAGAACAGACCAATCAGAAGAGAGAGCATGGAACTGGCTACGGCACATGACATCAATCCCTGGACGGCCTTGAACCAGTCTACAAGGTCAAAAGTTCACACATATTGGCAACCGAAATCTACACACATTAACAACTTCTAAGAAATACCATGCATATAAAACAAAATATTCCAAATTCATATGGAATGCATTAATCGGAGATTTTTCATTTACTTGTGTATACAATTTAGAAACATATACTAGGATATTTTTTATGACATTGATCTGTGCTAACACTGCTTGTGTATTTGCTCTGTTGATACTTATGATGAAGGCCCTGCCACACAGCTGTTAAATGTAATTACTTCCACAACTGCTTAGTCTTAGCTCTTAGCTTAGAGGCTCATTATAATTGAAAATGGATGTACACACTGGAGATACTTTTTTTTATTTGACTTGACTCTTGAGGTACATCTGATCAGCATGAAGAGAGAACATGTAAATGTTCTCATTTGACTGTTAAAAGGAGCTCTTGATCATTTTCATATTTTTTCTTGAGTAAGTTTTGACAATATCACGAATATCACTTAAGAAGTTAAGTATGTACTTTGTTTATGAAAATCAAAATATGTGGAATTAACTTATCAGTTACCTCACAGGATTACAAAAAAGTATCAAAAACTGTAAATATACTGCTTTCTAAACATCAAATGATCAATCATTTCATTTCAGATTGTCACACACACAAAAATAACTCCTTATGCCTGAATAACAAATCAAGAATGCAAATTTATGTACTTCAGTTACATACACCTTAAATTCAGATTTCACCTTGAGCTATTTGTTTTTGAATTTAAATCATCAAATACACAGTGTATGAATAACTTGTGCTAAACATTTTAACAGTCTTGAAAGATAACAAGATCTCTTTGTTTATTAAGCAAAACTGAAGATAAAACTCTTGACATCCATCAAATGATTGGATAACTGGAAAATCATGAAATAGTTCAAATTTTTAACTCAAAGCCAAAGAATCAAAGGTGGTGTTTTTGTTTTTGTTTTTGTTTTTTTTTGGTCACATGCCTACAGGTGGCCATAAGACCAAGGCAAGCTCCATCTTCAACATGTTCAAAGCTCAAAGCAAGTACTATACTTTTATTGAAACACTGCAGTCAATTTCTCTGAGTCAGATGAGACTATCTTTTTGTATTCAAGTACACACATAAAGGTTCAGTTTGAGCAACATTCCTTTCTTTTATAATTATATTTCATAATTTTAAACTATTAATACAAGAGATGTTTGTAAAACACTTATGCCCCCCTCCCCCAAAATTGGAATTTTCTAAGTCCAAAAGGGCATAACTCTGTCTAAAATGGTGCGATCCTACCCAAAACATTTCTTAACCTAGACATTCAGCTGAAAAATCTGTATACTTACTATACTAAATTTCATTTCAATATGTGCAACCTCTGCAAAGAAAATGAATGGAAACTGCAATTAAGTGGAATTTTTCTAAGTCCAAGGGGCATAACTCTAACAAAAAAGGATGCAATGGTACCCAAAACATTTCTTGACCTAGATATTTATCTGATATATCTGTATACTAAATTTCATTTCAATATGTGCAACCTCTGCAAAGAAAATGAACGGAAACTGCAAATAAGTGGAATTTTTCTAAGTCCAAGGGCCATAACTCTAACAAAAAGGATGCGATCATACCCAAAACAGAACTTGACCTAGATATTTATCTGATATATCTGTATACTAAATTTCATTTCAATATGTGCAACCTCTGCAAAGAAAATGAACGGAAACTGCAAATAAGTGGAATTTTTCTGAGTCCAAGGGGCATAACTCTGTCAAAAATGGAGCGATCGTACCCAAAACAGAACTTGGCCTAGATATTAGCTGAAAAATCTGAATACCAAATTTCATTTCAATATGTGCAACGTCTGCAAAGAAACAGAACGGAAACTGCATATAATTGGGAATTTTCTAAGTCCAAGGGGCATAACTCTGTCCAAAATGGTGCGATCAGACCCAAAACAGAACTTGACCTAGATATTTACCTGATAAACCTATATGCCAAATTTCATTTCAATATGTGCAACGGTTGTGAAGAAAATGAACGGAAACTAAATGGACCGACAGACCGACCGATGGACAGCAGCAAAGCAATATGCCCTCCCTTCTTCGAAGGGGGGCATAAATATTTAATGGTTTACTAGTATCAAAAATTTTCATGTTTATTATTTTGTCAAAAAGCTGCATTTTTTATCTGTTGTATGTTGGAGCTCTAGCTAACCTAACATTCATTCTATTTTTCATTTTTTTTTTTGTGTGTGGTTACCTTTGGAAGTGATACTGAAGAAATATTGAAACTTAATTGTATTGTGCACTAGATTAGTAGATATAAATACCTGTGTGATCATTGATCAATATAAAATTATTTTAATTTTTATACAATTGCAGACATTTTTCATTTTCGTTATTCCAAAATTTACTGCAATATCAGGATAAAGTGTTTCTTTGCATCAAATATCGATTTAAAGACTTGATTTTACTTGCATCCATAAATCTGGATCATTTTTATTACAGGTTAAAGCCGTCAATATAAATGAATTCAAAATGTGTTGTCAACACAATATTTACACATTTTGAGAATTCATGGTGAGCAGCTGATACCATATAATAGAATAGGATCATACTTTCAACAAGAGAAAATAGGTCTTACAGTTACTTAATCTGGAAGATTATATGGATTGAAAATGTCAAGCTCTATGATTACATTGTGGAGGCTGGAATCAAACCCAGGCCCTCTGAAACACCAGAAGGTGCTCTTGAGTCTTCCAAAAGGACTCTCTGGCCAATGGTGATTGAACCTGTGTGTCTGTCTGATGTCTGCCCCATATCCAGGCTATCGCTAATCCGAGATCCCTCTGACTCTAATCCCTGCTTTTTATATTGTGATAATCCCTTAATCCGAGATTCCTCTTACTAAAATCCCTGCTTTTTATATTGTGATAATCCGAGATTCCTCTGACTCTAACCCCTGCTTTTTATATTGTGAAAAGTAATCATAAAAAAAGCAGGGGTTATAGTCAGAGGAATCTCAAACAAGCCATAAGGCCATCCCCTGTCAGGTTTTTCACCTCTATCTTTTCTATAGACATGCTGTGCAGCCCCCCTCCCCTGAATTAATATTCACTAGTTGTTCTACCAAATCAGACTATCACAATGGGCAATTTTAACTCAGTGAGAAATTTCAAATATAAAAAGTTTGGCCTAATATTGATGTCTCTTCCGGAGAGACAAGAGTCCAAAATTTTTGTCTCAATTAATCATGATGAGAACAGAGATTAAAGGTAATCAAACATGTCTGACTTCCTTCTGCAGCTGTACTGTCTCCCATTTCCCAAACCTTTTTGAAACTGTTTTCTTTTGTATTTGTGTGAAACAGAATATAAATCAATAGAAAAAGCCAAAAGGTTAATCGCTGAAATAAAATAGTGCAATTCTCATCAAAAAATCCTAGAGTTGTGCATAACTCAATTAATGAAATTTTAGATGCACATCCTTTGTTACTCTTTTTACATACAACCAGGTAGGGGGCTGTGTAAAATAAATATTTACAACCGAAGTTCCAAGTACCTGCGGTAGTAAATAGTAGACAATGAAAATGACACCATATACCTGGTAAATTCTTTTCAATGGCAAATTCATTAGCGAAAAACCATTGACAGTTGTTAAGGGAGCCTGAAGAAGATGGCCCCCCTCTACAGTTCAGCCATAACCCACAATCACAGTCTGTAGCTGAGCAATCACAGACGTCCACTCGCTGATTTTGTCCGCTCGTGGGAACTCTCACGTTTAACCAGTTAGGCGTCGCAAAAGACACAATAGTGCCCACAGTTGTGACCAAAACACATATAATCGCCGTAATGACTAAACAATTCACCATTTTGTCGAAAAGTTTTGGGCCTTTCTCTCACAAAGATACTTGTGTTATCAAAACTTCCGTTCCAAGATCTTCTTCGCACTATTACTTCCGGTTTACAATTTCACCAAATATGTCGTACGTCAAACTGGAAAAGAAAACATTCGCGTCCTTTCGAACTTTCAAAAACAATTTGAGAAGTTGTAAACATTAATAGATGTTTCTCAAGGATATCTAATTGTTGATTGAATGCATGGCTGAATAAATTACCTTACTTATCTTGCTGGGGCACAAGAAGGGGTATTTTTATCATTTGTAAAAAAAATATTAGTCAACTTGTTTCTTTTGTTCGCACACAGAACAGGGACATATATTTAAGAACCAAGTTTGTACATATGTCTCTGATAAAAAATGTTTGAGAGTAAATTACTCATCAAGTTCCCACAATAAAAATGAAAAAAAAAATCAATTAAGGATATCTGATCCTCAGCCAGGAAGGACAACTCCAAAATTAATTTTTAATTTAAAATGCAACGATATGAAGCTTGAAAATGAAATTTTCTCATGCAACAATTTTCACTTTATTCATCTTTATATGATTCAAGGTTTTTGGAAGTCTCAGAAAAGGTCTTATAAAAAGTTTACATTTGTACCCTATAAAAAGAAAAAGAAATCCAGTTTTAGAGAAATGACATTTTCTTGAATCGAGCCTTAGATACCAATGCTTACATGTTATTAGCATACTATGAAATTAGAAGTGATTTATGATGTCTTGCAATGATAGCAAAAGCCGTTTATACTATGTATTCTAAAACAAATGAAGGAAAAAGAGCACATAGAATACAAAATAATTATAAAAATCATGACAATTTCTCTAAATGCCTGGATACCTATTGTTTTTTAACCTAAAATATATTTGTTGATCAATTTGCAATTAGAAAATGCTTATCTGATGTTCTTATTCGCTTTTTCTGAATATATATTGGAGATTTGACAATTTTCCTTATATAATATGATTAACTTTAATGTTTAGCTTTAAAGAAATACTGTGGGTAAAGTTACATTACTTTGTTGATTTAGAGGTATTTTTATGAGTATTTTCGATTACTTAACTGCTAATTTTTTTTATGAACTTGAGGATCGGACTACCTTAAGTAGACCATGTTCCACTTGACATAAAATTTTCATTCAGTGAAATTATCTTTTATTTTTCTAGACCATGCACTAGGTTTTTCAACAATAGGCACAGTTTTATTCCTATCTGATCAGGGACCTAGCTGTATACTAATACTAGTATATATTATATGTAGGTCCTTAATCTGATCCTTGATGTGGATTTAGCATGTTTAGGGGACGGCCATTTGATTATGAGAGGAAAGGGGTGGGATGGGGATGTTTGGGTGGCTGACAATTTTTTTTATGAGTCAGATTAAATTATTTTCATGTCGGTAATTTATTATTACATGTTCTAATGATCGTGAACATTTATTTTCCTCTCAATTGAAAAAAGCCTGACAAGAAAATAAAACATTCCAAAGAATGAGTGCACTTTAGTACGTCGGCTACCCATTTTAATCTTTATATTACAATAATCGCTAAATTGATCAATGATTATTGTGCTTTGGATATTTATGCCTTGACTTTTTTTGTCATACATATTTCCATAATTACAGACAACGCCATTGAAAAGAACATGTACAAGCCTTAAATTCCGGAAATTTGAACGGGATCACTATATATCGAATTTAAGGTGTCCGCAAATAGGCGTCCCGACATATTTAAATCGCGTTGATGTGGAATGTAAACAATAGCACACATGATTTTTTTCGCAATGTGATGCTACACTACGGATTAAAATGGTGAAGAGAGAGATTGTGTATAGTTTCATGGTGCACAAATAATAAATGAATCTAGTGTTTAGGGAAAGGGTAGATGTATCGCCCTGCAGACCATAATACCGAGGCGACATGAGCCTATATTTACTAATCTCACTACCAGAATTCTTTCAAAACACTCCTAACGAAAAATACGCAGTAAAATAAGAGACGTATAATCTTCGAACCTCATCAAAATTTGCGCAAAAAGTTTCCATAGTTTGAAGTTGGAAGTACGATAGATACTGTCCGAAAAGAAACTTCAAATGACAAACACAATGAAATGTTCAATGAAAGCGTTGGCGTATCGAACCGTGGAATGTCACGTGAGTAAAGTGATTATAATATCAATCGTTGACACTAGGGGACCTGTTAATTTAGTGGGTAACTTGATGGCAGTATAGAGACTTTTTTAACAAAAAAATAGATATGAGCCGCAACTTGGCCAGCATTGTCCTTTATATATATATAAGTTTAAATCAAAATACACATTCTGTGCAAATGAGACCAATGGTAAAGTTGCGGCTCGATGTAAACAATGTCGTTGAAAACTGGTATGCATATGAATAACAGTAGAAATGAGGCAAAACTGTAGACCCTCGTCTCAAAAGCTAGTGTCGCTCAGCATTATTTAGAACTTCCTTGTAATATAATATACCAAAATCTGCTATTAAGACATGGTTTAATACCTATAAAACATAAACTGAATGAAATTCGGGATTTTATTTTGCGCAAAACACCGGGACTTAACTCTCATAGCTTAAGTGCACTCATCCTTTAACACCAAAACTCTTATTTTATGGTGGTGCATGGGTGGGGGTGGGTGTATATCCATAGCATCTCTGGTAAAAAACAAATTATTTTTCTTAGTTGCCAATCGAAGACAGATTACTTATTTTCAATTTTTTCGATGAAAAATTAATTATTTATTTCCAAAATCTACTAGCCCTTATACCCTTCAGAATCAAAAGATCGTCCTCTTACGAACAAAATATAATATTTATTATTATCTTACTAAACAGATAACGTGCGTATATTCCGAACTAAGTATCCCGACTTTCAATGCAAAATTGAGATTATTTTATCCGTTATAATTCAATAAGATATTACCTTTAGAAGTATGAATATCCAAAATAATAATTTTGAATATATCAAAGTAATATTATGTAAAAATTAGAACGTACCCAAAAATTAAAAATCCAATTAAGATTCCATTTCTTTTTTTCAAACCCGTAAATCGAATTTATACAGGTATGTCTTTTTCGCATATATGTTAAAAAATATATACATGTATCAAGTTATAGGATTCATATGATTAAAAAAAAAACTTCCGTCTTTCAGTAAGGAAAACATTTACTGATGTCATACCCTATTATTACAATGTATTTCGTATTACCACTATCAAGAATATGAGTTTTCACATGTTATTACATGTACATGTATAATTATATTTACTTCTAGAATTTAATGAATAAATGTATATATTTTTGGTTGAAGAAAAAGATATAAATGTACGTAAAAGGAAACATTTTTTTCAGCCCTCCTTCTTTTATCTTAATATACATGATGTACATGTAGCATATACCGTGTTTATATTCACACACCCCGTTTATATATAGCAAACTACTTCATCTTTCTACGATAACGATCTCAAAACTGCCTTAAAGTTTATTCAAAATTGTTGATAAACTCATTTTTCTCGAAAAGCGGATTCACAATTTTTGCGAAGTGCATGGGGAGTTCCGAAGACAGGAGCTCCCTTTTTTCACCTCATTTGATAATCGTTTCTACAACGTAAGGAAATTCCGAGAACAAGAAGCATCATGTTGCTGCAATATATAAATTTATACTGAATATGAGTAATGGCATCTTGCAACTGCATATGGAATCGGTGCTGTTTACACACTCATATAAGTATCTTTAGTGTAGTTTTATTCTAACATACCAAAACTCTGAAAATATAAACTTTGTAAATTAATAATCATCTACTGTCTGTATTGGGTAAAATTTCACGGAGGAAAGTATTTGCTATCACAAGTGAATTTTACTCATATGTATCTTAAAAATACGCGTGTGAAAATTGAAAAAAAGAGCAAATTCAAAGAATTGTGGTCCCTCGATTTCTGTCTTTGTGGGTGAGATATCATTATTTATGGAATATTGTAGCTAATATGAACGCCTTATCATCAATCATTCAAAAGTAATCACCAAAGTTGATTTTGAAATATAATTAGGTCAAGGTCAAAGGCTCAGAAACAGCATGCTTGGAAATATCTTGTCACAGGTAATGCACATGTCAAATATGAAAGCCCCATCACTTAACAATCAAAAGTTAGAAAGAAAAAATAAATTTTTTGAAAAGAAGGTCAAACGTCAAGGTTCAAGGTCATAGAGTCAAAAATCAAAGTGTATTTAGAGAGGTCATGTCCAGGTAACATACATGAGAAATGTGAAAGCCCTACCTCTTCTCATTGAAAAGTTATGACCAAGATTAAAGTTTTTTTTAAGTAGATAAAACTTCAAGGCCAAGGTCATGAGGTCAAAAATCATAATGTATTTAGAAAGGTTTTCTCACAGGTAATACACATGTTTAATATGGAAGCCGTATCCCTTACTCATTCAAAAGTTATAGCCAATGTAAAGTACTATTTTGATTTTTGAAAAGTGGGTCAAACTTCAAGCTCAGGTCACGGGGTAAAAAATCATAGTTATGTAATAGTTACATGATGACACGAGATGATGCATACAAAATATCGTTGAGTTATTGCACGCGAGGAGGCGTTAGCCTCCGAGTTTGCAATAACGAAACGATATTTTGTATGCATCATCGAGCTGTCAATCATGTAACTGATTTATCCCATGACCCTTCATTTGACCTTTTCCCATATTTGGTATTTTCTTTACATCAACTAATAAAGACTCTGAAACAGAACCACGTGATAGTCTTAACGCGAAGGGTTTTTTGGTATCCAAGTAACGGATTTACAAATTTGGTAATTTTCATAGTACTGTAACACGTGATCAATTTCTTGAGATAATCAATTCATTTGTTCTATGATCTGGCGAAAATGGCAGAAGGGGTAATCGTCGTTTTTCAGCAAGCCTACGACGAGGATAATTTTCAATCGAGTCAAGCAGTTCAGATGTATGAACTCGGGCGATCGGATTTAAAAGGCCCATGGGGCCAGGACTTTATGAATTTCGATTTATAGTTTCCGGGATTGAAACGGGAAAATTTTACGGAATGGACTGAAAATACTAGATTCGGAAAACATGTGTCGGCCATTGAAATAAGTGCGCTTAAAAAATCAAGAAAGTAAATTCATGAGCCGTAACACTTTATGGGCAGTCAACATGGTTCAAAAGTTCAACGACTGGAAATCTCAGCAAAACAGCAACTTGGTGAGTTTAAAACCATTCCCGAAATACTCGCTAGTAAATACCAAGAACTTGTGTACTTTATATATCACGCTTTGTACACTGTAATTGAAGCCAGGTGCGCATATGGTTTCCCCTACCCCGAGGACTTTATATCCGATTTGTTCCGATATTCTACGGTACATGAGAGCAAGGTGTTCATTATATGAACTTTTCAGAGGATGCCGGGAAGGAAAATGATACTATTGAATGTGCGAATTTCTATCATGGGAGATGAAGTTATCCGCTTCGAGAATTATGCTTCGGCTGACGGTGTCGATGTCTTTTTTGTAAAGATTTGTGCATTTTGATTTAAACTGTGTTATCTGTTTTGTTTTGTTTTTCTCTTGTTTTTGTTAGTTCATTAAAATCTAGTTCTAAACGAATTTTTGTCTCGTTTGCATAGCTCCTCCTACATCCGGAGTATAATCGTTGGATATCACTAGCTTTATATCACATATGTGATATTTAATATATCACCACACTTATGTTGATATGAGAAATACACCCTTGCGAAGATCAAAGAAAAATTGTCGGTCATGGGATAAAGGTGTAATACACTTGTGTAATATGCAAGTCCTGTCTCTTCTCACTCAAAATATATAACCAGGTTAAAGTTTTTGTGACAGATTTTGATGAGATTTAATGTCCAGTCGCTTTCGCGGAAGTGGGGGACAATAACAGATATCATGTATATTCACACTCAATCTTGTACTTTTATTTTTATCTCAGATACACCATACATATATGTAGCTTTAATGTTACGAACGCACTTTTCTTTAGGCAAAGATCGGGTCCCTTCTGGATGCTTGGAACGAATATGTCGCTTCACTTAATTGGCCCTGTTTGTGATCAAGTACAACCAATTCTTTGCATTCTATGTAATATTCTCTAAGTAGTCCATTGTCCATTACTATCCAGTAATCATTTAAATATTATTTTTATAAAGGGGAATTTGAAATAATGTACACGAAATAGTTCATCGGTTTCCAACTTCTTCTTTAAACTGACACAATCTGCTTTTCAACAATCTTAATAATTATGATAAGAGCTAAAACTCATTTAGTTAAAAAAAAAGAAATGTCAAATAATATGTAGATTTTTAAAATACATTTTATTTTATTATACACTTGAAACAAAAGAACAAACAAATTCTTATACAACTGAATTTCCTCTCGAATAATACAAAGGAATTTTCACAAAATAATCATATAGATTAACACTAACCGACTGGTAACTCCAAGTATAAATAATTTTTATCTTATGAACTGATTTACAATGCAAAAACAAACAAAAACAAGAAATATTTGTAAGACACTTATGCCCCTTACACAAAATGATTAGAATTTTTCTAAGTCCAAGGGACATAACTGTGTCAAAATGGATCGATACCCAGAGCAGAACTTGACCTAGATATTCATATGATAAATCTCTTTACCAAATTTCATCTCAATATGTGAAACCACTGCAAAGAAAATGAACGGAAATTGCAAATAATTGGAATTGTTTTAAGTCCAAGGGGCATGACTCTGTCCGAAATGGTCCGATCGTAACCAAAACAAAACTTGACCTAGATATTCTTATGATATGTATACCAAATTTCATTTCAATATGTGCAACCTCCGCGAAGAAAATGAACGGAAACTGACGGATGGTGGGGCGACAGACACACAGCAGCAAAGCAATATGCCCTCCCTTCTTCGAATAAACAAATAAAAATTTTAAAAATCATCTCCTCCCCCCCCTCCCTTCCCCAAATGAACATAAAATGTCTCGCCTCTCTCGTAAGGTAACTGTATACACAAAGATCAGGGAGAAGAAAAACATATAATGTTCTTTCTAGCATATTTCATTTCATCAAGTAAACTCTCAAATATGACTACTTTAAAGAAGTTATATTTAAGCTTAAGAGTTTAATCTGTACATGTCAGAAAGATTATATCCAAACAAACAATCCGAGTTCTCTTTCTTCGTTCTAATGCAATATTTAATGAATTCAAGACATGCTCCAAGACACATAACAACTTACAGTGTCTCCTCTTTTCAAAAAAAAAAAAATAATAATAAAAAATAAATAAATAAATAAAATAAATGAATAAAAAGTCAAAATATAAATAAATAAATGAATAAATAATTGAATTATCAATACTTTAGACAAAAACTAGTTCTCTTCAATAGAAAATAAATTTAATTTAATCACAAAATATCGATTTCAGTAGAAATATTTTTCCACAATTTGCATGTATTTATAATGGCTACAATAAACTGCACACGACTATAGGGATTTAACATAAGCAGATAAGGCAGTCATACTTTGAATTGAGTGACATTCGCATATATTGGAGATCTGAAAAGTGAAAAGTAATATAGATACATAAATTATAAATCACAATAAATCATATTCATATACTATACATGTAACATTGCCCTTATTTGATTATAGCCCCCCCACCCCCACCCCCCATCCGCTGATACTTTGTACCTGAACTTGACTTACTTATACCCATTTCGAAAAAAATGTAGAGATTAAGAAGATCATTACATAGCTTTTTTAGATTTAGAATAAGCTCACCTTTTCTTTCTTCCTGAAAATAAGTAATGGGACGTATGAATATATAACAATTATTCTTTGTATACTAGTATACATGTTCTTTCAAAAAGCCAGGGATATGTGTTATAATGACGTACCTTTTCGCTTCTTTTTCTCGTTAGACTGGACGACCTCATAAGTATGGTCCTCTATAAAGGTGATGGTCCTGTCGTCATTTTGTCTTTTGACAATATAAATATAAAAAATGTTATAAAAGTAGATATGAAAATTAAATACGTATTTGGCTACCTCATTTGTTATAAGTCGGATTTCAAATTCCTACCTTATTCAACTCACTTTATAAAATACTATTTGTAATATGATTTAAAAATATTCTGTTACCTGACTTTTGGTTGAGGTGGAGCTGAAAAAAAAATTCAACTTGAAGAGGATGGGTGAACAAGGCATGCAATATGCATATGTGTACTTTATTTCATTTATATACTTTTACACGAAAAAGATATCAATTTAGATATTAGTTTGATTAAAATTGGATTGAATTGACTCATTAGAAATTCTATGAAAAATGTGATGTTTTCAACTGTGACTTATCCATTGTTATATTCCCTTATATATGTTACTTATGTAGAAATAAACCCTTATCACCTGCATGTGAAGTAAATATGTCTCCCAATTGATTCGATACGCAATATACATTGAAAAAATGATGTTGCAACAGCTTGTACAAAATTATGTCAAAAGATATACGTTTAAAAAATGTGATTATAAAATTGATTTACCCGTGCATCTCGAGTTTCTGAACAAACCATGGAAGTGTATACATCGTTGCAAATTTAGTGGTCGTTTTCTGACATTTTTTATCAAAATAATCAGAGCGACTATAACCAAAAACGTTGAGAGTACAGAAGTTGTTGTCATGAATGTGACAACCGAGAAACAAGTATGGTCGCCTGAAAATTAATCAATTCCCTTTCAAACTGAAACAACAAAAACAGTTTTCTAAAGATCTACGTGTAAATGATATCATATATGAAGGTGAGCCGAATTATGCCACAATTAAATTTAAGAAGTTGATTTTCACATTACTTATATTGCTAATAAAAAAGAAATCAATCCAGCTCTATTAGATTTTTATTGTAGATCCCCTTAAGCCATTTACGATGAGTTAGAATAAATTTAAAATGAGTTTTTTTGTAAAATTTATTTTAATCTTTTTAATCTCGTACTTTTTATTGTGATGAACATTTTTTGCGAAGTTTTGTTGTAAGAAACTAGGTTTGACCATGATTGCAAACGACAGTAGCATGCCTTCTGGTGGTATTGTTTGGAGGCAATAAAGGTCAGTTCTGACCACGTGTCCCCAAAACTCGCCCCTTTCTCCATCACATGATCTCCGCAATACCAGGACCAATACAGGCGAGGGTTTCCGGCAGAGGACACGCGGCAATGAAGGACAACTGGCGAGTTTTCCTCTACGTGCACGTGTGTTTTGTTGATTAAATCTGGGAAGTCTACTGGTGCATCTAAAACATCATTATATACCGGGTAATCAAATTTATTCAGAAATTAGTTGCAGAATAATTTCATCCAATGAATATTTTCTCCTTTTTTTCAAATCGATCAGTAAACATTATTGAGCAGAAGTTCTTCTGTCAGTGAAACGTATGTGATGACGTACATATATAAAAAAATACAAAAGCTTACTTGAATAAATATTTTTACAAATATAAATATAAACAATAAAACGTCTTTTTTTTCTTTTTTAGTACTGTAAATCACTTTATTTGTAAGAACTTTATTTTTGCGTAATTACAAAAAAATAGATATAATTCTCGCGTATAATATAGTATTCTTTAGGATTTTATAGAGCAATAACCACAATTTGCGAAATTTTGTCTTGCTTATTAAGAATCTATGCCTATCTTGCGAAAATAAGGTGTCGCGAAAATTTAGTGATCTACAGTATCGGAATTCAAATTGCAGCTACATGTATTGCAATTGCAGAAAAAAAAACTGCTTGCGTGGGTAATACATCTTTCCTACAACAGCTGCAACATAAATTCCCGTACGAACAACCATAAAAAGCATTTTAATGTTTTATATATATATTATCATTCAGCTTTCTTAGAGATCTATATACTTACAGTACACAGTGACAGTCTGTTTATTTGACGAAACATTGTAGCTATATTTTGTACTTGAAGCCATACAAAAGCAATCTTCTCCGTTTTGCCAAGACTCGGCTTTAAACTCAATCTTTGACACGTTTCCCTTGTTTCTCATCCATATTTTGGATAGTGTTTTCTCTCCACACTTCCAAGACCAGGATATAGGTGGGTTACCCATTGTGGAAATACTGCAAACAAAAGTAAAGTCGTTTCCGACTGCCATTGATGTTCGCGATTCATGAGTCAGTTTGAGGTCGTCACTTGGCGGGTCTGAAAAAGCAGTTTTAGTAATTGATATACGTTCGAAGTAGATCGATTTTTATTTTTATTTTTACCATGAAAAGCCTGATGAAATTTGTATTTGTAGAATTCATAAAATTAAGATATTACACAATAATTTCCCTTCATAGATACACATAGAGAATAATAATATCCTGTATGCACACTTTTAAATGAATGCATGGCTTTTAAATGAATTTTCCATGTAAAAGCTTAAGATTATCAAATAGTTCATAAAAAAAAGTTATCCTTATTTAAGAGTTATCGTACATATTAAATTTTTCTTACATATGACAGTGATTTTTTGTCGATCTGATTCTTCATCGTATAAGACATTTCTGGAATTAGACTGAGCCCTGCAGTAACAGTAGGTGTTGTCATGTTCAGGATTAACGGTAAAATTCAGAGTAGACGACCGGTTGTTGTTACTTATGTCTCTGTATGACATGGACTTTCCAGCGCAATACCAGGACCATCTTACTGCAGTAGTGACTGATAGCGTACACCTTAAAGACATTTTCTGATGCTCGTACACTTCCGCAGATTCTGCTGAAATTTCCGGGCTAGGAAAAGTGTTTATTACAACTAAATAAAAAAGAATGAAATTTCACCAACAATAGATTTATAGAAAATAGAAATTTATCGAAATGTTGTGTAAGATTTTCCTATACTACAAACTAACAAATGAATAAACAACAACAAAATACAATATTTAATAGGCCCAGAGAACATACAAGGGAGGGGGGTTGATCTGACGTGTCAGAATTTTTAGTAACACCCCCCCCCCCCCAACTGCATTTTTGAAACCGTTGTTATGAGCCTACAATATTTTATTTGATAAAACATCAGAAACACCAAAAGAGTCACACAATCTCAAAATTATTATTGACCCATTTTAGTGTACGATGTAATCGACGACAGAATGGTAGAGATATCACTTTCAGACTTGCCCGAAGTAAACTGACATGACATCAATGGCTTCCGAGTCTTTAAAATCATATAGAGATTTTCAAAATTAACAATCCAGAATTTGATTTTAAAGAAATGACTATGAACAAAAAAGATTCTCAAACAACAGCTGTCAAATACACCTTTTAAAATGTGGAACAATATATCACCAAGGTACATATTTTTAAAGGCTGAAAACAAAGTGCCACCTTTTCCCCATCGTCGGATACCCCATCTCATCACCCGTGGGTTTCCGACGATGCCTTTTCCCAAAAATTGATATAAAAAATCACCTACCTCTCGACAGGAATATCGAAATTAAAAGTACGAAGTCGATCATGATTTCTAGCAGAAGCTATAGCAAAACGGGTTATAGACTTTCTCAGGTATTTTTACATTTCCGTTGTACATGTATATTAATCTACTGTTCGCACTTCAGTTAATTGTAGAAGTTCACTATATTTCCCTTTCGTGGAAAAAAATTACGATATCTTTTATTACTATGATTGTCATTGGTTTGTTTCAATTTTGCCATCGTTAACGATAAATTAGTTGAATATCTTACGACCATTCAAGAAGATATAATTTTATAACATTCAAGGGCTCTTAAAAACATGAAGAATAATTTTAAAGATAAATACTAGAGGAAGTTATATTATTATAGAGTAGGTTTATCAAAAGGGGAAATGAAATATTTTTCTTTCCACTGAATAGCGCTGTTGATTTGCGTGTTGAGAAGAGGCACTTTTGATTTGAGGAAATTAAATAAATGATGTATTTAGCTTTAAGATTTGAAAAAAAACTTTTTTTGGTTAGAGTATATTTATATCATTAAATTAAGAGCATTAGAAATTTCATAGATTGTGTTTGAGTCATTTTTGTAGGATTATACTTTTCGTAAAAAATTAATGTCCACTTCATATTTTGCATGATTATAGTTTACATGAGAAAGTAATAGATATTTTGAAATAGGTCAATATAAGTAAATAATAGAATGTTGATATATAATATTAATTTATTAGAGAATGAATACAACATGATATTAGATTTTTTTTAAAAAATTGAATAACAACCTTCTATCGTCTACTTCTTTATATTAGTCGTATCTGTTATGCAGTTGACCAAGACGTCCTCTATACCCAGCACTGAAACTGAAAGCAACAGAAAATGTAATTTCTATAACTTCTATAATTCAAAATGTAGAGAATTGTAAGGAGTGTCAAAAGAAAACAAGTTTGCTGCGGTTTCTGATCTCTCTATACTGCCTTTGTAAACTATGCTTTCAATGCTTTTGAGTGCTAATGAACAAAATGTGTTTTTTAAAAAAACATTGATGGCAGCCTATGTCAAAGGTCAAAGTTTTTCTGATGCAAATTAATATCCAAGATCAAGAGTTTAAAATTTTTTGTTTCGCAGTAAAAACAGGAATCAATAAATATATCAATCAAACATATAAACCCATGAATTTCAAAAATTTATGGTCAAGTTAAAGTTTTATTTAAGTGGATCAAATTCTAAGGTCAAATGTCAAAGGGTCAAAGTCAAAAATACCAAGGATAGGGACTTGTCACAAAAATATACACGAATAATTATGTGAAATATAAAAGCCCTAGCACCAACTCTTTAAAGATTATGACCAAGTTTAATTTTAAAATAAAAATAGGTCGAGATCAAAATGTCAAAATTGTTGGATTTTAATTAAATGAAGGTCTTGTCACGAGAAATACACCCGTGAAATATGAAGTCCTATTGCTAATTTTTCATATATTTTTCTTGAAAATAATGCAACAATTTTAATAATTTGATATCTTGCAAAAACTCCCGGTAATGCATTCTGATATTTTGTCTATGAACATCTTAAGACACTGAAAACTTAAATTAAATTAAACTCAAAAGTCAAAGAGTTACAATATATTTATAAACAAGGAAAGGTCTTGTCACAATAAATACACGCGTGAGAAATTAAAGTCCTAGCCCTTCTTGCTTAAACGTTATGGTCTGTGTTAAAATTTCATTATTTTTTGTAAAAGTGCATGGGTCAAATTCTAAATACAATCATACCCCCCCCCCCCCAAAAAAAAAAAAGATCTTGTCAAAGGGATGCACCAATGTGAAATATAAAATATTTAAGTCATAGCCCCATCCAATCAAAGCTGATGGACAAAATTGAAATTTTTGCAGACAGACAGACAGGTAGACGAATGGATATTTTGAGGATTGTCATCATTTAATTTCAATTAAATCAATCACAAAATTGTGATAACATAAATATCATCAATAAAATCAATGTCAGAATGTTTCTTAAGGTTTGGTCGGTTAATTTCAATAAATCAGTTTTAATTAATTGGCCAATTAAAGATTTCATAACGGACTTTCATTGTCATGTTATTTTGTCACGATCAATTGATATAATAGCGGTTCTGTAATTGAATTCCTACCGGGTGAAAACCAGTCAGCCGTAGTATTACGTACAATTATTATCAGATTGAGTTTTAACTGAGTTAAACTTTTGACCCAGGGCATTTTCGCATAAACAATCAATTATCATGCTCTTCACTTAAAAAGTACTAACTTTTGGTGGGCTATTTATCCGAAAACATGCGTCCAAATTGCAGTCTGCATTGATTTAGCTTGATATCGGGATTCTATGTCTTATTAAGGTATAGTTTTTCTTTTTACCCTTTTCTTTTTCGAAATAGAAGTTAGGATGATATTCCATTTTTTTTTTTAATTTATAATGTTTCTACAATTTCTTTTATGATAATTATTTCTATATTGATTCTGTTTTAAATTGGCTTTTCACCAGAGCACACATTTTCTAACAGACCCAAGAAGCATGTAGGCTGAGTATAAATTTGGATGTCGGGTTTTTTTTATTCCACATTTTGTACATAAATAGGTAAAATTTCACTAGTGGAAAATACTGTTTATTCAGACTGGACCATACAATTTACTTGATTAGTTTTAAAATATTTTTATCATTTTTACCCCCCACCCCCACCCCCTTTCCCACAATATATCCTTATTTTACCGTTTACAGGTCCAGTACAATCTCTTGATTTAGCTATATAGCTTTAAATAGCTATATAGCTTTAGTAAGCTATTCAAAATAGCTTTATTTAGCTACATATATTTATATACAGTTTTCCATAAATATGTTTTTTTGCTAGAAATAAACAAAAAGTCGGATGTATTTGACTCTTCATATATGTACTATGGGCTATCAAACAACAACCAAAATCAAAGATAGTTCTAACATTGCAGCTTTTGAACACTTTTAAGCAAAAAGAGAATTTCTATTGTTAGAGTAACTGTCCACTACCTTGCGTGCGTTGAGGCATGGATAAGTATGATTGCTTCTCATCGTGCTGAACTGTTACCATTCAATTATCTTGTTTACCATAATTGGTCTCCATTATAAAATCATTGCAGAAGTAACTGTATCAGTTGCTTTATATAGCCCCAAAACTTGTAGAATTTTGAGAACAAAGTCTCTGAAGGAGACGTAATTTGATGAGTGATTTTTACATGCATTATTTTAGGAAGAGTTCAAAGTTGTATATCATCACTGCACCACGGTGCACTTTTTGTACATTCTGAGATAATTACACCTTTAAGAAAAAAGTGTAGTAAAATAACTAAACTAAGCTATTCTGAATAGCTTAATAAAGCTATATAGCTATTTAAAGCTATATAGCGAAATCAAGAGATTGTACTGGACCTGGTTTATGTGAAAGCTGTTACACTTTTTATTTGAGACATTTTAACATATCTTATTTGAAAATTATAAGTATAGATTCATCAAATAAAATTAAACATGATTTGGAAATAAGTAAAAAAAAACTTATACTTACACTGTATCTGTCTCATTAAACACTTGGCATAGAATATGTGATATCAATTAAATAAAATTTTTACTTATTCTGGGTCGATCATGTGAACTCTTTTAAAATCTAAAAGTTACATTCGAAACTAAATACCTGAATCATAACAGAGAGCAATTCAGTTTATGTAACGATCAAATTAAAAGAAAAAATAGAGACAAATGACAAATAGTACCAAGAGTTTGTGTGACAGGACTTACACAATGGACTTGAATAAATCAATTAATGGTAATTAATTAAGATGACATATATTGAGTTAATATGTATTTAAGGGTTTTGAAGCAATTATATGTGTGACGCGTTTGAACGCTAAACAAATAATTAATTCAAAACGTAGTTGAAAGCTCTTGCGATCTGGTATTGAGGGAATGTAGGATTTAGAATTGATTTTACTTTTAACATGATTAAAAATATCTTTTTAATGAATACAAAAGTTTCGTCGATAATTTATCATTACTGTACTATTCAAATGCATGTTTTCCTATGTCTTTTAGTTTAGCTCAAGAAAACTGCAGAAGGAGAGAAAAAATGTATCAAGAAAACATTTGGGATTTGAACCATATCATATTCCTCATCGCAACATCAATTTACATCATTTTGGGAACAATTGGCAATGCTCTTGTGATCGCAGTGTACGTTTCAAAGAAACGTCATTTTCCAAGAAGAACCTACATCCTCACGCTAGCAATCACGGACTTGGTTATAATGATTGTGGTTGCTCCCTACACCATTGTGTTTGAGCTAAGATTAGTTACGAGCAAATTTGTCTGCCATGTTTTCGAAGTAGTCCGGCATTCCGGGATAGGATTCTCCAATCTTATTCTTATTTTGATAGCAATGGAGCGTTTGCTAATGGTATGGAAGCCTTTGAAAGTCATGAAGGGTAAGACAAAACTCGCATGGATTATAGGATTTCTGATTTTTACCATCGTGTGTTCTAGTCCGTCTGCTCTTATTTTTGACGTTGATTTTCATGGCGATCCTCTTCCGGTCAACGTAACGCAGGTTCAGGAAAAGTATTGTGACTACACGACAGGAATACTAGGAGAAGAAAAGAGCAATATGTACAGAAATTTTATTATTATCTTAATAATTTCAGAATTGCTCATTTTGATAGTGATGTATATTTTAGTCTTTGTACTTATTTACCGACAAAGAAAGAGTATTATAGGAGGAGTTTATGTGGGCTCATCTCGAAGACCTGCTAGGTCGTCCATTCAGCGAGAATTACGGGAACGAGATTCCAAAGGAAATGAAGCAAGGAAGGAGAGCAATCAAAGTTCAAACGATGGTCCAGTATTTTGTATAGCGAATTCTCTGTCTCCAAGCAATAGTAAGGAGACGACGTACAAATGCACAGCTGTAAATGAAGAACAAAAGTTGCATTTGAAAAAATCAGAAGACACTTTTAAAGACGAATGTGATCCTACAGCGGTTAATGTTCAAGATTGTAAGTCTTCTAACCTAGAGAAGAAAGCAGTAAAAGAAAAAGCTGCATCAAACACGGTAGAACGTTCAGTGTCAGCAGCAGGAAAGGAAGA